GTGCTTGTTCAACCCATCAAGCGATTATACTGCCCGCAGTCTCTCGCTCCCCCTTCTATCGTGAAATCTGGTTGTCTCACGAAGAGTTTCGCAATGTGAAAGTTGCACTTGGTTTCGACGACAGAGCTTCAACCTACGACAGGATACACGGGTTGTTCTAAGGTCTTCTCGATTCTTTTGTGGGTCTTGTAGACGTTCGATAGTTAGAGCTCACGAGGTCCTCCCTTGTAAATTGACAAAGCTAATGACAAGGCCCCCAGCGAGGGACCGAATCGCGTCTGAAAAGAGTAATGTACACGTCATTTATTCTACTTTACTCTTACTTTTCTACATGTTATGAGCCCGAACATAGAGAAGAACGACACCAACGCGGCACAGCCGCCGCCAGCAACCTGTCTAAAAGGGTCTCTTCGGAGCCTGCGAACGCTTACCACTAAACTAAGGTCTGAGACATTGCAATTGTAAATTAGTCGACACTTGAGATGGTGGAACAGAACGAATCAGCTCAAGCGCAGTGGACCAAACGGCATTATCGCTTTTTCTTCGGATTCAGTAGTGTCCGGCGGTACCACATCCGATCTTCCCCATCTTCAGCAGGATCACGGGTAGAAATGAGCTGTGTGAACTCCTTCGTGTTAAGCTCCATGCAAACAGGCCTCATTGTGAACATGCTCGCGGGATGAGCGTCTGCAGCACCCGCTTGGATTTTGTGGCACTTTCTTGCTTGCGTGTTTCCTTCAGTGTGCGCAGTGCGTGGACATACTATGTGCTGTGTTTTTCGTCACTTGAGCGCAATTCCGTAATCTGATTATAGTCTTAATTAGTTGAACTAAGGCTCCGCTCGTAGATGGCAACAGAAGGAGATGCATGTTCCTACCCCTGCTGCCCCGATCTATTCCGATGCGTCTCTTGTTGTTCCAATAAGACGTGATTATCCTAGTCGTATCGGTAGAGGAAAAAGCACATCTTCCTGGTGTTCGAGTGCGGTCTGATGGCGCAGACTGGCCAGGTACTCACACCGCGATCGTAGTAGCAAAAGGTCGTCCTCGATCTGTACTCTCGTCACGAGATGTCAAGCTTGTTGTGCAGAGACGTCACCGTACGACGAATCATATTCAATGCATTTAGAGTTTGTGCCCGCAAGTAAGTCTGCGAGCAACCGGCTGAAACCTACCATAGCCCTGTGTGCTTTGGGTAGGTGTGTCCCCGAACATGAGGCAATTGTATGTATGCACCAGAGGCGTGACCTCGACGCGTGTTTCGGAAGCAGTCACCGACAGTACACTCATTACGCGATGGAAGCTCCTTCCAATGAGTTTGCACAAGTTCTGGATCTCATTAACCATTCACAAGAAACCGTATTTACATAGCAGAGAAACATAACAAACAAAAAGATCGATATAACGAGAAATGCAGTCATGGACTCATCATGACTGATGCTGGTCTGGTCGTCAAATGATACCGGGTGGCAGTCTAATGTAGATTAGTGTATCCTGAGTCGAGTTTCTCAAACTAAAGTCGGCCTCACTCATGCCTTTGCTTCGACCTATTTGATGCATCGGTGCAAGTCCGCAACGTGTGAGCAAGTACACATTTGTCTCACCAATCAGGTATACTAGTCGTGCTTGTTCAACCCATCAAGCGATTATACTGCCCGCAGTCTCTCGCTCCCCCTTCTATCGTGAAATCTGGTTGTCTCAAGAAGAGTTTCGCAATGTGAAAGTTGCACTTGGTTTCGACGACAGAGCTTCAACCTACGACAGGATACACGGGTTGTTCTAAGGTCTTCTCGATTCTTTTGTGGGTCTTATAGACGTCTGATAGTTAGAGCTCACGAGGTCCTCCCTTGTAAATTGACAAAGCTAATGACAAGGCCCCCAGCGAGGGACCGAATCGCGTCTGAAAAGAGTAATGTACACGTCATTTATTCTACTTTACTCTTACTTTTCTACATGTTATGAGCCCGAACATAGAGAAGAACGACACCAACGCGGCACAGCCGCCGCCAGCAACCTGTCTAAAAGGGCCTCTTCGGAGCCTGCGAACGCTTACCACTAAACTAAGGTCTGAGACATTGCAATTGTAAATTAGTCGACACTTGAGATGGTGGAACAGAACGAATCAGCTCAAGCGCAGTGGACCAAACGGCATTATCGCTTTTTCTTCGGATTCAGTAGTGTCCGGCGGTACCACATCCGATCTTCCCCATCTTCAGCAGGATCACGGGTAGAAATGAGCTGTGTGAACTCCTTCGTGTTAAGCTCCATGCAAACAGGCCTCATTGTGAACATGCTCGCGGGATGAGCGTCTGCAGCACCCGCTTGGATTTTGTGGCACTTTCTTGCTTGCGTGTTTCCTTCAGTGTGCGCAGTGCGTGGACATACTATGTGCTGTGTTTTTCGTCACTTGAGCGCAATTCCGTAATCTGATTATAGTCTTAATTAGTTGAACTAAGGCTCCGCTCGTAGATGGCAACAGAAGGAGATGCATGTTCCTACCCCTGCTGCCCCGATCTATTCCGATGCGTCTCTTGTTGTTCCAATAAGACGTGATTATCCTAGTCGTATCGGTAGAGGAAAAAGCACATCTTCCTGGTGTTCGAGTGCGGTCTGATGGCGCAGACTGGCCAGGTACTCACACCGCGATCGTAGTAGCAAAAGGTCGTCCTCGATCTGTACTCTCGTCACGAGATGTCAAGCTTGTTGTGCAGAGACGTCACCGTACGACGAAACATATTCAATGCATTTAGAGTTTGTGCCCGCAAGTAAGTCTGCGAGCAACCGGCTGAAACCTACCATAGCCCTGTGTGCTTTGGGTAGGTGTGTCCCCGAACATGAGGCAATTGTATGTATGCACCAGAGGCGTGACCTCGACGCGTGTTTCGGAAGCAGTCACCGACAGTACACTCATTACGCGATGGAAGCTCCTTCCAATGAGTTTGCACAAGTTCTGGATCTCATTAACCATTCACAAGAAACCGTATTCACATAGCAGAGAAACATAACAAACAAAAAGATCGATATAACGAGAAATGCAGTCATGGACTCATCATGACTGATGCTGGTCTGGTCGTCAAATGATACCGGGTGGTAGTCTAATGTAGATTAGTGTATCCTGAGTCGAGTTTCTCAAACTAAAGTCGGCCTCACTCATGCCTTTGCTTCGACCTATTTGATGCATCGGTGCAAGTCCGCAACGTGTGAGCAAGTACACATTTATCTCACCAATCAGGTATACTAGTCGTGCTTGTTCAACCCATCAAGCGATTATACTGCCCGCAGTCTCTCGCTCCCCCTTCTATCGTGAAATCTGGTTGTCTCACGAAGAGTTTCGCAATGTGAAAGTTGCACTTGGTTTCGACGACAGAGCTCCAACCTGCGACAGGATACACGGGTTGTTCTAAGGTCTTCTCGATTCTTTTGTGCATCTTATTTATATTAGATACTTCAAGGAATCGAGTAGAGTTTGGATTTTTACACTTTTGAATAATTTAACGGATCTCGTAGAATAGCATACCCGGAAGTTTTTCAATGAATCCATTTATTCTACCGTAGGTTAAAGCTGTGGCGTCTTACCCAGTGCAACTTGCACTGTTCAACACTCTCTCATAACAGCATGATATGTCCATGATTAAGCAACTATCCGCTGGTGTGCCCACTACTGCATTTTGATCTCTGGGCATCGTAATGTTAATCTCTCCACCTGCACTCAGGCCAACCTCAATGATACGGCCGTTCCAATTAATCTGGTTTTTTTATCGTCAAGCGTCATGTCTCATCTTGACATCGTGCAGCTGTCGTTAAGCTTTGCCGTCATATCTCTGTCTCCTGACACGGAAAACTCGCTCATCATCACTCCACTTGACTTCATCTTCCCTGTTGAAGAACTTGACCGTCCCGTTAGCGAACGTAAATAGCACCTGCTTATCGACGTGCGCTCTTGTCGTTCGATTTACCATCGCCTACCGTCCCTTTGCGACGTCATATGTGACGTTTCCGCGGCGCACGTTCCGGCTAGCTGCGCAATTGAGAAGCCAAGCTGCTTGAGCTCATGATCTGGTCCATTTTGGTAGTGGAGTAGTCTTATGCACTGGAGTAAAATAATTCAGTCTTTTATCTTTCTTAATGTCTTTACCTACTTTTTACCCACCCTTGTCCACTCGATCTGCAAAAGCCTCAGATCGAGTCGCACAATGTATTACGATTCGAACACCAAGTCAGCGGCCGCACTTCCCATAGTCGCCCGGTGCGCCTCACGCGCAATTGCACTTACGACGACAACCTTTCCAACACGAACAGGTTCTCAGCGCGTACGAATAAAGACACCCCATTGCATCGCTTAAGGAGCAAAGTGACTGATCCGTGATAATGTGTCGTGAAGATCGGCTTTCAAAAATTAGGAATTCTGAGCACAAAAGAACAACTCTACAATTTTACAATCAGTCTAATATCTTCCGAATCCAATTTTTTTGCCTAATGTATGGTGTGAAGGCTCATCAGCAAAATTTGAAGGCTCATTAGCGATTCCCTAATCATTTGTCTTTTTGCGTACAAGTTTTGATAATACGAATAAGAGTATGGAGATAAATCGGATTCGAGCCACTAACCTTATATTTTGCAAAACATACTTTTTGTCAGCTGAAATATATCTTCAACGGATAACATTTTGAAGAGATACTAAAATGTTACGTGAAAGTTGGGCACACTTACAAAGATGGCAGGTTAAATGTCGTGCACGTGGCTGTTGTCGTCGTGGTCGTCTCGAGACAATGAGGAAAGAATAATACAATGTGTAGTTATTGTTCTACTACTGGAGTATTGCAATTCCTGATTGACCCTAACATCAGAGAACGAAAGTACGTCACAGAGTTCGTCACAGAGTTCGTCACAACATCGGTGCATCAACGCGCAAAGTACTGATAAGACTGTCCCGGTCCTGTGCAGCTAGCTATCTTTTCATACAAATAACGTCAATAATCTCCTTCATATTCAAACAAGCAAATGAACAGCTCCGACACGGAGAAGAGCTCGTCACAAGCTCTGGCCTTCCATCTCGACTTACACGTCAAGTATCTGGTGAGTCTCAAGAACAAAAAGGAGGACTTTGAATCGTGCATGACGGAGCACATGCGCGTCAGTGGTTTGTACTGGGGCGTGGGGGCCATGGCGCTACTGCACAGGGAGGAAGAGATGAAGCCATCTGAAATCGTCGACTGGGTGCTCCTATGCGAGCATCCGGACGGAGGTTTCTCGGGTAATGTCGGCCACGACCGCCACCTTCTGTATACACTGCACGCTCTACTGGTGCTGGCGATGCTGGGAGCTCTAGAACGGATCCAGAGGGACAAGTGCGCGGTGTTCGTGGCGTCGCTGCAGCAAAGTGACGGCTCTTTTGCTGGCGACGAGTGGCAGGAAATTGACACCAAATTCACGTACTGCGCGCTGTCGGCACTCAAGATCTTGGACAAACTGGACCTTGTGAACGTCGAGACCGCTGTGGCCTACGTCGACAAGTGCCGCAACTTTGACGGCGGCTTTGGCAATATGCCAGGCTGTGAATCACATGGAGGACACATTTTCACGGCAGTGGGTGCTCTGTCAATGGGTTTTGCGCTGGATCTATACGTGGACGACGAACTGCTTGGCTGGTGGCTCTGTGAGCGACAATGTGACTCGGGCGGACTGAATGGACGACCAGAGAAGCAGGCTGACGTGTGCTACAGCTGGTGGAATATCGCGTCACTCATAATGATCGGCAAACTGGACTGGATTAGCAAGGAAAAGCTCATTGAGTTCATTTTGGCGTGCCAGGACCCCGAGGATGGAGGAATCGCGGACCGGCCAGGAAATGTAGCCGACGTGTTCCACACGTTCTTCGGCATCGCTGGATTGTGCATGCTCGGCTACTTTGACCGCGAGAAGGAAACGCATCCAGAGTATGAAGGTATCCGCCAGATCCACCCGACTTTTGCAATTCCCACGAATGTTGTCGAAAAGCTTCAGCTAACAGCGGATATGATCATGCCCGAGGTGCGCAGGGACTAATAGTTAAAGAGTAGCCAAGCCGCAATGAAGATGCCAAAGTACACAGCCAATACTTTTCTTCACGATTAGTCAATTTAATCGCGACCAAGTCGTCCTGATGCTAGAACGACGAACTGCGTCTACAAGTCCATGGGCGTGGCCTCCTCGACGACAATGTCAGCAGGGAACAGCTCTGTCGTGGAGCTCAGCACATCTACGAAATGGTGCAACAACGACCAATCAGCACATCTGAAAGCGATACAGCAGCGATATGGGTAACGTACGAGTAGCTCCGCGCGGGATGTGCGTGACGATGTTACGGTCGATCTGCGAACGCAGCTCCGACACCTCGTTCGGCTTGATACAGTTAAACTCCTTGACCACTTCCACCTTGTCATTGACTTTCTTGATCGTCGTCACGTCGACATTGCTACCCGAGCCCAGGTCATTGAAAATACCAGCCAAGATAGCATCTTGCACCAGCGTTTTCGCTTCATTCTCCTATCAAATGACCAACATTAGACGATATTTTAACACCTCACACACCTACCCACTCGCTTCAACCTACGAACGCCTTACCGTCATGTCGTCCTTGTAGCCATGCTCGAAAACAGACATGGCCGCTAAACTCCCTGAGCCCATGGTCACAAATGGCAGCTTGTCCGTGCTGTTGTATCCAACACACAGCACGATAACGCATATTAGCTTCAATAAACGCAAAACATCTGTCCAGGGCTTGTACCTTCCATGGGGGTAAATCGTGTAGAGGTGTGGACCCGTAACGTCGACGCCTCCAAGAACCAGAGCCGCCGAGACGTGGCCCTGGTACTGGAACAACATCCGCTTCAATAGCGTCATGGCCGTCACCACTCGTGACTGCGTGCTTGTGTTCTGTAGACACAAAGAGAGTCCACATCACGACATCAGCAACGGCGTCTCAAGCCTGCTTGCCATTGTGCATGACTAATAAACCAGACCAGACGGTGCAGCTCCAACTGCGACGAAATGAGCGCGGTCGTGTTCTCCGTATCAGCAGCAGTGCCAGCACCACAGCAGTAAATGTTGGGTGCAATATAGTGGATCTTCTCACAGTTCTTGTCCATCACGATCGAGCCGCCCGTCGAGCGCGTATCCGCTCCAAGCACTACACCGTCCTGAACAGATCACATAAAAATAGTGTGTGTACACAAAATCAGGGTTAATTTAAGCACCAATCAGATTAGTTTTTCAGACAGGGTGATGGTCACGCTATTTATAAATGCAGCTGCTTGCCTTGTAGACGACACCAACGATCGTCGTGCCAGTCTTCATGGCCTTGATGCGCTGTTTCCCGCCCGCCTGATTCAGCAGCATCTCATTGCGGCGGCAATTGTCAAAGTTAAAGCCGCCATGCACCTGCTCTGCAGTCGGAAACGCGTCGCCAAAGGTGTTCTGCGTGCGGCGAAAGTCGGTCATTTTGTCCGCGAGCTTTTGGCTAATCCGAGTGGGGGAAGGATCTGTTGGGGTGAAGTAGCACGTTGGGATTCCAAGAAAACGTAATCGTTAAGTGAAAAGGAATGTAGGTTTGAATATCCTGTGGAATATGATACACATAGAACAAAAGGGTGCGACAAGAGATGTCGCTTGTTGATTGGTTAGAAAGGAATTGAGCGCATTACTGGCTGCCTGCGCACCGCGTCTTGACTACCAGTCGTTTGTAAGTGCATAGTGAACACAAGTGAGTTGCAACGACCAAGCAGGTAGCACACGCTTTCCCACCACCAGAAGCAAAAGCATTCGTTCACCATGGTAAGTGTTTTACCGCTCGCCGGTAGGCATGCGCAACAGGCATGCATACGCAACAGGCATGCATACGCAATGTATTGTAGCTGAAGAGACGGCCAAGAAAGATGTCTGAATGCCATGTCACAATGCGACTGTCGTTGCAACGCCTGCCTCTTCACCCGTGCCTTTTGCTCGCGTAAAACGAAGTTGATGATATAAAAAGCAGGATTGCTAATTTGTGCTTTTTTGCTACTCTCATTTCAGTCGCTTGTCATCAGCCCCGACTTCCAGCACATTCTGCGTATCCTCAACACCAACATTGATGGCCGTCGTAAGGTCTGGGTTGCACTGACCGCTATCCAGGGCGTGGGTCGACGTTTCTCCGTCATGGTGTGCAAGAAGGCCGAGGTGGATGTCACCAAGCGCGCAGGAGAGCTCACGAACGACGAGATTGAGCGTGTGGTGGCCATTATCCAGAACCCGTTGCAGTTCAAGATCCCTGTGTGGTTCCTTAACAGACAGAAGGACTTTAAGACGGGCAAGCACTCGCAGATTGTCGCCAATAACTTGCAAGGCAAGTGGCGTGAAGACTACGAGCGTCTCAAGAAGATTTACGCGCACCGTGGTCTTCGTCATTGGTGGGGACTCAAGGTGCGTGGCCAGCACACGAAGACTACTGGCCGTCGTGGCCGCACGGTTGGTATCCTTGGTGGCAAGTAAGATGCTTCAGATGCACTTCTTCTGGACCTATTCCATGTGGGATGGCTAACGATACTGGCGATATTGACGTGGGTGAGCGAGCGTCAATGCGTGGAAACGCGCTGAGATGACTCGAGCAAAATTAACAAGATGAACAACTTTGCTGCTTCTTTGCCAAACGATTGCTTGGCTTGTATTGAATGAGTGGATGCATAGGATCTCCCACCAGCCTGCACGCTGTCCTTGCAAATGGATGTCCTAACACAGCAATGGCAGATCTGTTTATTGATCTTGAAGTGTCTACTTTGTAGTCCCCATCTAACTCAACGCCTCGACACCTACAAGCCGCTTCGAATAGTGCACAATGTGACACACTGCGCATGTAAACACCACGCCCGGTTCAGATGTCGGTCTCCACTAATGCCGTCTACTGAATCTCTACAGGTAGACCCATTTTCTCAAAACTGAACATCCGCCACAGTCAATATAGCAGCAGGGCAACGTCAGAGCAAGTAACGCAATCTCACGCTCATTAGTAATCAAACGTACGCCTTCGCCTGCTGAGCGTAGATCTGCTCAACCTGCTGTCGAAACTGCTCATTTTCGGTGTGGTGCTTCTGCAACGCTGCCGTAAATATCTGTAACGCACATATTACAGTCAACCATAACCGTGTCAATGCCAACAAAACTGCAAAGCTCATAGCAGAAACGATATACCTCTTGCGAGATGCCGTGCAGTTTCATCTGCGCCTGCGTCATCTGCTCCACATGCTCCATGTACAAAGACTGAAACTCCATCATAGCTTTCATTGCATCGCTAATGCCCTCAGCTCGCGCGTGGGCAAGCATGTCCAACATGGCTTTCTCCATGCCAGCCACCATCGCTTCTAGAATCGCCAACGTCTTGTCGGCAGTAAGGTCCTCAGGAACCTCTACAGGCGTTGGCGCATGGAAGACACTGTCGTCAAACAAAGAGTCAGCTTTTTTGCGGATGAATCCACCCCTATACGTAGCAATCTTCTACTTACGTTCGCATAATATCGTTTAGTTCGTTTTGCAACTTCAAAACTTCAGCGTCCTGCGCAAACTTCTCCAGCGCAAACTCCAAACTCGGACGACTCCACTTTCGCTTGCCAACAACCTGCTGCTCAAGTGCCTCCATCATCTGATACAACTGCGATAACACTGCCTGCCTGAATTCAGCGTCACTGAGCTCGTGCTTGTGCTCCTCCACGTAAGCACGCAGTGCATTCTCAATCTCAGGCAGTTTCGTCTATCACACATACAGCGATAACAACACACACCCCTTCCTCCTCAATCATTTCCAACACATCAATGCACACTACTAAAGTCCACGTACAAACAGCTCCTTGACCGCTGCCGTGAGCTCCTCGAAAAAGAGCCCAATCTCCTTCTGCGAGATGTCCTGCAAAGCTTCAGGATCTGAAACTCTTACTGACGATGAAGCATCCCACCACATCTTTCCTACGCCAACGAGGGCACCTACAACAGCAATCCCAGCGACAACACCCGTGGGGTCTGCTCTGACGTGTTCAGGCTGCTGAATAGTGCGGACTGCAGCATGAGCACGAGCGAAAGCGAAACTCGATGCTGTACTGATTAAACAGGTTGAAGAAGAGACGGCATTGCGATGACTGGCAGCAGACGTGGCCGATTGGCAGAGCTGCTGCGCGGAGCGACGCGCTATTTTGAGCATCATTAGGACAGCACGAATGGAAGTGGTGCAGCGAGTGTTGCACGAATGAAACTTCAGTTGATGTGAGGAACACAACTTAACGGCACATGAAGTTGCGAGAAAACATCGTGGCAGTTATTGAGGAAAGATGAACAGGGCACGCAGTTTCGACCGACAGCACTCTGCCGTGAGAATTAAGTAATTCCATTTGCCCCTTAGCGATTTATTTTGATGCAGTGCACTTTTCCAGATCAAGTTGTTTTTATAAAAGATAGGGGAGCAAGCTCTGGAGCTCGCCCTTTGATACAAGTATCTGGTTCAAAGAACTGAATCAAGTTGCAAGACACTATACAACAGGAGTCACTGAAGAAAGAGTATGATGCTGTTAATGCCTGTATCAACCTAGTTCAGTTGGCTAGGTCAATGCGATCAGTCTTCGTTGACGTGTGTCTAGCATTTGACAATGTGATTATATTCACCTTTGATCGATTGTAGCCAATCAGGTGTGTGTCTTACAATATTGACCTATCCATAGAGTGACTTTTGCATCCCTATTTACATTTGTGGTGAGGACAGGCCAGATCGTATTCAGTACGTGTAAGCTACACCTTTCGGCGTTATTTACGGACACACACTGACACAGACAGATAAGTACGATTCAAAAGCTCGGCATACATCCTTGCGCACACTCACTGATAGCTTCACCATTCGGGCTCGTAGCTATAATTTACCACGTTCATCAACATCAACGCAGTAGAGTTTAAGTGACAACGACATCTTGAAGCACATTCTGGCAAAATGTGCAACTATGGCGATTGCTCATGGGCGATTTTGACACTTGATAGATCAGACTAACCCCTTGGCGAGGCTTTTGAACAATCGAGTTACTACCGAAAAAACTCACCTTTACAGTAGATTGAAGTCTCGAAGCCCCAGAAGTCTCGAAGCCCCAGAAGGCTGACGATGTCCATCGTATCGTCGCTAGGGGCAGCCAACTTCTCTTTACGAGTATCTATAATACCTAGATGCGAGTCATGGCAGAAAGATAAAAAGTAGCAATAAATACCGAAGTTGACGATGAATACATTAGTAATTGATGACGCTTTCATTTTATACTCTCTTGATGTCTGTATGATATTACAATCGTTGTAAATTAGTAGAATATTCGCGTTATTGCGAGTCCGAAGGGTGAGGCTATTAGTGGGTGTGTGCAAGGTTGTATGCCGAGCTTTTGAATCGTACTTATCTGTCTGTGTCAGTGTGTGTCAGTGTGTGTCCGTAAATAACGCCGAAAGGTGTAGCTTACACGTACTGAATACGATCTGGCCTGTCCTCACCACAAATGTAAATAGGGATGCAAAAGTCACTCTATGGATAGGTCAATATTGTAAGACACACACCTGATTGGCTACAATCGATCAAAGGTGAATATAATCACATTGTCAAATGCTAGACACACGTCAACGAAGACTGATCGCATTGACCTAGCCAACTGAACTAGGTTGATACAGGCATTAACAGCATCATACTCTTTCTTCAGTGACTCCTGTTGTATAGTGTCTTGCAACTTGATTCAGTTCTTTGAACCAGATACTTGTATCAAAGGGCGAGCTCAAGAGATTGCTCCCCAATCTGTTACCAGGATTATTACCAAATGCGGAATGTGCAAGACGCGCGGGATGGGACAAGCTCATTCTACTTCCATTCCTGCGCGGGACAGATGTGGGATCCCGAGGGATGGGACGTTGCAGGATGGAGCCCTAGTGACAGACTATATCGTACTTAGTACACTTTACAAGGTACGCCTAGCGTTATTTACTTACAAAAAAGGCAAAAAATACTAAATCGCCCATAGACTACATAAAAAGTATATTACTGTACTTACAGACAGACAGATACGTACATTTTCAAATTTTGGCATTCACATTGCGCACAGCCACTAAAGTCTTCACACTTTGACCTCTTTACAACCCCTTCGATTCTAGTTTCTCGCTACCAAACGTTCTCAACCACTTCTGAGTGACTATTTAGCGATTGATTTCCAACGCTCTTATATAGTTTATGGGTTAGCAAATAGAGATTGTAACGGGTGGAACTAGGTCTAGTAGAGCCTGTCTCTCAATTTTAGTGGAGACTCGTTTGTGATTCTGATTTGCTATACAAACAGCTCCCTCTATACTTATCCCTGATATAACACTTCTTGTCTAGATGATCTAAAGGTGGGGACGGGTGGACAAAAAGATTGAATACAGTCAGCTACCTTTATAACATACCCCGACGTTACATCCTCCTTCTATCGGATTTAAATCAGGGGTGGACAAAATGGGATGCTATAGAGGGAGCTTACTGTATGGCGATCCTATTCTGAACCTGTTTTAACTAACTTGAATGAGAGTTCCACAAACAGTTATCATATCTGGATACGCTGGTGTGATAGACACACAAAGAGGTCAGAGGAATCGATAGTCCTTTTTTGTATCATAAATGCTAGCGGCCGTATCTTATCCATTACGGATAAATGCTAAATATCGTAATAGGATGGTTAATGAACGGATTATCTTTTGTGTGGTAACACTAGGAAAACTTCATCAGAACTTCTTTATCAGGTAACATACTGTAAAATTAAAAGTGTAGTTGAGAATTAGTATCGCTGAAGATCAGTAAATAAATTCAGCTCACCTTTTGATCAATTTTAGACACGCGTCTTTTAAGACGTCTTGATCGTAAAACTAAAAGCCTTTATTATAGCTAAGTAATCTTGTGCATTAGTGTTACGTAAATCATTGGTGTAGTAATTTCCTGAACTATAATCAGAAGGTTAAGAGCTCGTACGTATACTTAAACTCAGTTCTCTCTAAATCTGCAAGACTTGAGCGCCTTTAAGTTTATACCCGTTTATTAGTATACTTGTAAATACTACAAGTCTAAATGTCTTCCTCTGACATATGGTCGAGGGTAGCAATGCTACACTCCGTAGCACTACTGGTCAATCTACACCTAAGTCTGTTAAAAACTGTTACTTTGCCGGGATTGAAACAAAGGTAAAACCACTCCGAGGCCCAGAGATTAGCGCTGGAGAAATCCGGAGAGCTATTCAGGAAAAAGGGGATCTAATCCTCGCACAAGGATCTGACGTGGTTCGTGCACGTCTTGGCGCTTTTATGCAGTTTGACTCCACTTTGATTCGGCAAGTAACGACCATTTGGCATCGGCTATGCCTACTCGGTATATTCCCGTACCCAATAAGAGCCAAGGAATTGCCCCCTTATTTTGAATGTAAAGACAATCGAGTAAATAGAAATGAGCAACCTCCTCCTGTAAATCAAAGAGGTTTAAATGGTCATGAACCCCTCTATTCTTCAGTTGGAGCAACAGCGAGTTAGGAGGCTATCTCAAAATTGGGTGATTGAGATAGAGAATGGGCTTTCACGTGTAGCACGTCAACAGACGAAATATTTCCGAAATACTATTTGGAAACCAGAATATACTTCGGATGTTGGCCCCGCCCAATCTGGCATACCGCATGCGTTCCAGCTTCCTGTCTGCCCTTCAAGGCAAAAAAGAAAAGTCGGACTATGTCCAGGGGATGTGAACTCTAATCGCTGCCATGCAGCTTGATCCCCAACCAAAAATATGTTTCTGGCTACTATGTTCATGGAGGGTCTACGCACTAGTGTGGCTCGAGCAGGAGATCTTGGGTCCACCCCAAATTTTTCATGACGGCCGTATATGTAGCGTCTATCGCTAATTATTACATGGGAAGCGCATTTTGGCACGTATGGGTATATCTTTGCCTTGACGAGCTTATTCAGTCCTTCCAATAAGCCGGGGCGTTTAAAAAAAATTCTTACTGAGAAGGATATAGAAGCAGATCTTCAATATGTAGAACAAGATCGTATCATACGACGATGTTTCATGAGCCGATGCACAAACAATTCGATCTCTGATTGCTCTTTACGTATAGCCCTTAAATATTTTTCGAGATGGACTACCGTTGCTAACTAATATTATGGTACGGCGCTGTAAACGCTGACTCCCAGTAGGAGCGGGACACCCTCCTAGAGGAACCCTAGGCTCTGCAGAGCTTTTAAGATGCAGTATACCACAATGGTCAGCTTAAAAACGTGCTCGACTGCATGCGCACATAAATTGTACGCAAGCGCGTCTAAATTCATCTTTACTGCATGAAAGATTTCTCTACAGTATGCTCTATAAGTCAGTGTGGTCTTAAAGATGATCTAGATGATACAAAGGCTATAGTTGGCTGATCGATTTAACAAAAAAAAATAATAAGTCAATGGCTTGGCCTTTCTGATTACTTACCCCTATATAGTGAAATGTATACTAAAATGGTTTAACCGCTAATAGATTTCCTTATGAAGGACGCTAGTGTGCGCTAGGACAATGTTTGTACAAATTACATCGAGCAGTAAAGGATAGTCTCCCACATGCTCCTTTTTTTGGCGTTGTCAATCCTAAGTAAATATTAGTGTTATCTGCGACACAAACGAATTCGTCGTAGGCAGCGTCCTGTCGCAAATAGAAGGGATCTCGTCACCTCAAATCTTGTGTAAAATCTATCCCTTTGATGACAAAAAGTCACTTGTTATAGAGCATGCTCTCGTCAAACTGAGGTTTACCTGCTTGACTACAAAACATTCGTCATTCAAACAAATCATGCGTCATTACGAGCGGCTACACAGTCGCATCACCTCTCTCAGAGAATGTCGGTAGCTTTTCTTCGTTACGAATGATGACTTTAAGGTGAAGCACAAATCGCGCAAACAAATCGTGCTGGCAGATGCCCTATCAGTTCTTCTCGGTAATGATCTTGATAATGCCACGACGCTGTCGTTATCCATTGAGAAGTTTAATCATGTGGCATATCCTTAAATTCTCAATGTGTGGTATTGTTTCAGTCCCTATGGAGTGTACAGTATGAGACTTGGACACCACTTTACCTACACAGTTTCTTGCCAGCCTATACCATCATTCCATCAATAATGGCCTTTCGTGCTGTCGCACATGTGTAATGGTGCTTTTTGCTTTGATTCCCCCACAAAAAGAATATTAAATACAGAACCCTCTTTAAGGCCCATGATAGTGCGCCCAGTGAATGTTTGGTCCACTAAAAGACCACTGTAGTGTTAGCTCACAGAGCAAACACTACTAGTGGTCCGAACAATACAAATTGGTCCAAAGCTATACGTGCGTAAATGCGAAAAGTCCCACCAGGTCAAATCCTTGGCACATTTGGCTGCGTCGCTTGCTAGTTTGCCGGTATCAACTAGGTGCTAAGCATTCGTCAGTATTTATTTCGTACTAGTTATTCTAAAGGAATTTGAAGGCAATACGAGTATTGTGATTTTCGTTTAACGCCTAAGCAAAATGGTCACTTAGCAGCTGTGTTGGACTTCATCGATATTAAGGTCACAGCTATGCGGTATATCGATCGTATGTTTCGTCAACATTGGTTGCCGCTAAAATTATCACCGATCGCGATCCTCACTTCACTAAACGTTTTGGACATCCACTTTCAAATTGTCCGCACATAAATGAACTTGTCCACAGAAGATCTTCCGCAGACTAATGCTCAAACTGAGCGAGTTAATCGCGTCATCAACAATTATTTTTTGCAGTTTTGCGCTAAGTCGCTAAAAATACTTGGAGCTCGATGCTCTCTGCCATTTAGTTTGCGTTGAACATCGCGGTTTATGCATCTAAAGGCTTTACTCTGCTCTATGTTAATCACCTCACACATTAGCGAATTATGTTCGCATTACCACTACGTGTTCGTGTTCTTGTTAGGTAAAAAGTCTGCTGAAACGCTTACTAATACCAGCCCCACCACTGTATAGAAACAAGTGAGACAGATTCTGGCGACGCCCTTTTGTGTGTTTTGCCGATTGTGTGATGCACTGGCTGATTTCCAAGATCGCAATAAACAAAAAGCTAATCGCAGCGGCACATGCTGTATTGACTTTTACAGTGCTGGATACCAAACCTTACTACACACTAAGAACCTATATCACATGTAATGCATAACGTATTCAAAGCAGAGTTGCGTCGACGCTGCATTTAATCATTCGCGCACATAGACTATAAGAACCTTGTCTATTGCCTTATTTCCCTTAGAAGCTGCTCACCCTTTAGTGTTTTCTTTGTCTTGCTCATCTTTGTCAAGATCCTTCTCTCGTGGACCAGGAGGTGCTTGCGCCTTCGAAAAATACGTCGCCCCCGATAAATGCATCTTCTTCAAGAGCTCCGCCTGGCCATATATCTGGGGCAGTAGTACTATACATTCGCAGTCGTTTGATAAACGAGTCAATTTAGCCGAAGCGGTCCATCTGCTCACGCAACTAAGCCAACTCAGTCGACGACTGTTCACGAGCGCACCGCACATGAATGAGGATCTCTCACGGTTGTCTTCCCTCATACACAAACTGATCCAGTGCACTTTGTACGTGAGTTAGAGAAGCGCGGAGGCGCATCACTACTGATTTCAAGTCTTATGGTTATGTGCTGACACACTGACCTCTTCCTCCGCTGTTTGACGACCAGGGACACTTGCAGTGCCACGAGGAGATGCTTCGGAAGCGTAATTGTCACAAAGCTCAATACCAGTATCTAGTGAAGTAGCGTGGACTTATTAAGTCTGAAAAGTTATGGAAATTAAATTTACCCTCCGGCAATATTGTCCGTAAGCCGATACGATTCCAAACGTCTTGCTGAGGGTCATTCTGCATCCACAAGCGCTTCCCATAAATAGGTGTGGCGTGTACGTTATTCTCACCAGCACCAAATGATCCGCGACTGTCTGCATATTTGAAATGTGCAGAGAGATTTGATCAGCAGATGGTATTGTGTATCGAGTACGGTAATCGTAGCTGGCCTTTGGTCTTCAGCTAATCGAATTTGTAACGCACTTACCATCTTTATAAGAATGCCGGTCTCGAAACACTAGCTCGAAGTGCATTCATGCAAAGCAAGTAGCGTGCTCTGTGATACCAGAGAGTGGATGTGCTTTCGTCCCGGCCTCACTTTCGCCTGAGTACAGACAAATCGGGGCTGTTCTCTGCGTGGGTATGGATGCACTATGTGCTTGCTTCGTCAACTCGGCCTGATACTTGGGAAACGTCGTCGGGTTGTAGTTAAGAATCTCTGCTTTAGAGCATCTCGATACAATGTCGGTAAATGTCGTATCCTCGTGCAATATCGGCCAAGTGGTCAAATGCTGCCCTGCGAACTTTTGTGACAACTGGTCAGCGCCCAGATTAATGAAGGTATAGTTCAATTGCGCCTCGGTAGTAGCAAGTGTCTGAAATAACCGTCTAGTTGTCTCATTGCCATAAATACACCACTATATTTGCTCACAGGGATTGTTAATGATGATGTGCCCATCAAAAGTGGTTTATGCATGCAGCGCTGTCAGTGCTTCTGTCGTGCTTCGTTCTGGAAATTAAGTTGTCGCTATCCGCGAGGATCGTACAACGCTGAAATGTCAGGCTTGTTTTTTTACCTCCTGGTGTAACAGCGTGCTGTCATAATCAAATATGTTTTCTACTTGCATGGTTCTTCCAAATTTCGGAGGAATTTTAATAGTTTGCCATCGATGCATAGGCATACAGGAAATTATCTCGTGCCTTTTATCCACGATCTGGGTGATGACGGACTGACTTTTTGCAGCTAACGCGTCGATACACCCATCTCGGTATAAGAAGGCATAGTATGCGGACCAGACTTTTCCTGGTCTTTACTAGCCACCGATTTTTTGCGGACGTCAGCCGAATCTAAAAATGACGATGCGTTCTTCCAGGATCGTATACAAGCCTGGCTTGATATAAAATAGAGCCAATCGGGTGATTTTTACAGTGCTTTGAGAAGGAATTAGTGGCACTTGCCGTTAGAATCTTAACGAAGTCACTGAACATTCGGTGAGTGAAGTGCCACGGAACAAGACTCCTATCAACGTGAACCGCGGTAACAAGATTAATTATAGGTACCGCTGTCAACGCTGATATCGATACGAAATCAAATTCTCCTTCGGTAAACATATTAAAATTGCCGTAATCTTTTCTCATCTAGCATCAAATACTCGCCGTCAATAGGGATTTGTGCAGTTTTAAGTTACGAACTCGGATTGCCTAGTAAATGGTTTAAAAATAATGGGTGGCACTATCACTCATATCCGCACTATAATTGTGCAACGAAGACGCACAATCTCAAACGCCATCGCTGTTGCCACGCAAACGTGCAGCGTAGTAGGAGGTAGATAAAGGTAAATAATATTCCTGATCCGATCTACTACTCATCCTTCTGTCTTTATCCTATGCACGCACACTGCGCTGTCTTGAGCTCTCTGCACCACTTGTCTTACAAATGGCTCGGTGACTACCCTGATGACTAGAAAAAACGCCTAATGCCAAGCGAACTACAAGCCAGAATTCATGATCTACCAAACAGCACACCATACGAATTCCTACACTATTCTCTGCGTGCACCTGTGCTATCTATCTCTTTCGAGTCTGACACACTGTTTTCTATGCATCAGACTCCTCCGCCCTTCATCATTTTAATTTCGCCACGCGCTGATGTGCCCTTCGCGCACGCCCCGACTTGCCTACGCTCTTCTCTATCCAGGCGCTACCGCTCGCTCGACCGCCGAAGGATGTCCGTCCAGACCCTAAGCTGCAATTACCTCATCAGACTGCGAAGCGTCGCCAGCTTGGTCACGTTAATATCCGTCGTCATCTAGTCAGCGATCATCAGCTCAAAGGGACGTGCTGAGCCGTCACGACATTGCATCGAGCGAGGTCGCGCAGACACTTGTGCCGCACGTCGACATAATCGGCCTCGATCGTCGAAGCTTCGCCTTCGATCTGGCTGATGGCCGCCTAGTTGTCCATGGGCATTAACATAGTGACAACCGGCTCCATGCGTACCTCTTTATGCATCTGCCGCAAGTCGTTGAGCTTGCGTCCGACCTTCGACGCCGCGACGATCTCGACATCCATCGTGGAGAGGCTCACGCCACCATGCTTCTTATAGGTCTACGACACCACCATCCCATTAAGAAGCACAATGCATCCCGTCAGCGAAATTCTATCTGACTTCGCGGCCGCAAAGTCGGCATCGCTGTTAGCTTTGATCTGCATTGCGTCGCGACTCGTTTGCTCCGGCGCAATCTATATTTTGAGGTCCGCGGCGCTCTTGAATAATCGCGCAATCCTTTTGACGACCTTTCAGTCCAGCACCCGCGGCGTGTGCTTCAGCCTGGTTGCCTCGTGCACCGCAAAGGCAATGTCCGGCCTCGAGCACCGCGCGGACCACAGCAGACTCCCGAAAAAGCGACTAAAACATGTTGGTCGTCTTACCACCGCCTGCTCTCTTCGCCTCTATCAGTGCGGCGTCGTCGCCTATCACCTCGTAATAGCCGTCTTAGATTGGCGTCTTGGTCGGGTTTGCGTCTCTCATCGCATTTGCGCGCAGGATCTCCTTGATCGCCTCCTCCTTATCTATGCAATACGCGCCATCGCTCCCGAGATCCACCCGCATCCCTTGAACCTTGTGGATGTGACCAAATTCTTGATCGATAGCGACGCCAGGTTCTTGAAGAAGCTCTAGACCGACGCGACACTCTTTCCCGTCACCAGCAGATGTCGACGTACACGCCGACAACGACCATCTCGTCGCCATCGTGCTTGTGACACAGGCACATATCTGTCATGCATTTCGTCAAATTCGCATCAATAAGCCGAGCATGGAGAAGCTGGCTCCAGAGACGTCCTGCCAGCTTGAGCTAATAAACGATCCTTAGCAGTTTCAGGAAAACCTGACCTGCATGCGCGCGCTAACGTCCGTGTAGCGTGCTGTCGAAACAGTCATGACGCGCGGAACCTGCAGCCAGATGTCGAGGTGCGCTTCTCTCTCGGCACGGACGTACGTGTTCAGGACATCCTCGTGCTTTTCCTGCATGCTCCACATAGATGTGAGCGCCAGCATGATCTTCGCCGTCGAGATGATCATCAAGGTGGCGAACGTCGGGTTGTAGTCGACGTTGAGCAATGTGTATTGCCGGAAGCACCAGGACGTGCCTTGTTATGCTCGAGCTCTCCGTAGGCTCCCGTATTGGTCTTTAAGAAGTATTTGGAGTGGGGAGATATCGATTCAGGCTGCGCTTTGTCACGCGCCACAATTTATTGCTCTCGATCACGGCAGTCTCTTCATGCATAGCTGGATCCACTGTGCGCGCTTTAAGGTGTGCATGGCCTCGCCGTAGTTGCGTGTATCGCGCTCGAAATATTGGCTGACCACCTCGTCGCTCGCAGCTCGATCCTCATGGATATCAGCCCCGCATTTGCGCGCTTCATGGCGCCGCACGTCCCATGCACTTGTCACAACCACGGCTTCTTGATCTTCTTTCGAGCGCTGCAATCATCATGCTCTTCCAATTTACGTTGCGGGTCACGGATGCTGCATCCTCTGCTTGCGCTGGCTCTGCTGCATCATCGGCTCGATAGCTCGCGTCGATCGCGCGCTGCAGCTGCGCACTCTGCACATCCGACGGCGTCTCAATGTTTATCACGTACTGAGTGCCAATGAATAATTCTGCTGCCGAAGCTACACAATTTCCCCTTCGTATATTCGCTGATGCTGACACTGACGCCGCACTGCAAGCGCTGTTGCAGCGAGTTTCTGCTAGGGTCCCTGTACACGCTGCAAGACGATCCAAAGACAAAGATGCTGCGCAGATCCTGCGCCTTGACCGTAAGCACCTCGAGAGGAGACGCTCTCTTCGCATTTTCTCTCATCAGACTGCGATTCAAGATGTGGACGGTGTACTGCACCGCTTCAACCCAGAACTGCAACGGCAGCGCACACGGAAACATCATGCAGCGCGCAAGGCACAACACCTTCCAATGCATCCTCTACGCTTTGCCATTTGACGCTTGGCAGGCGCCTCCGATACTTGGCACGCGAAAACTGTCCTCTTTCAAAGAGATCAACATAGGCGTACTCTCCGCCGCCATTGGTGCGCAAGACATAAATCTTTAAACTGAAAAGCTTCTCGAAGTGAACGAGAATCGCTTAATCTGATTTACTGCCGCGTCCTTGTTGCGCGCGATGAAGATGCGGCAGTAGTTCGACTTATGGTCGATAAAGCTGATCAGATGTCGATTAATGTGTCAACCCGGCGGCGTCATTGGGCTCTTGAGGTCCGAGCAGATGACGCCTCCGACCCTTTTGATTGGAGAGTTGGTGCCGCATTGGCACTGCGGCTAAACGCTGTGTTACTTTTTGCCCTCGAGGCACGACACACACGCTATGCACTTGTTAAAGGTCAGTCTGATTCCTGATTTTGGATTGTGCGCCTTGATTACGATCGTGTCGAACGCGAGGTGGGCGATACGATGGTACCAGTGCAGCAGCGAGCCTTTATGCGCATCGCCAGCGTCCCCTTCCGTCGCATGCACTTCGAGAGTGGCCATTAAAGCATCACCTGCATTGTGCCTGTCTGCCGCGCGTCGCTGTCATCTCGGCATACAGCACGCTGCTGTCGATCGCGATATCGAATGCGACTGCGCCATCACTGCGTCAAGTCACCGAGTGCATGTCGCCGTCGTAGATGAGAGCCAAAGCCCCTCTCTCGATCTTTCCATATGATACGATGGTTCTCGACAGTCGCGGTGCGAGGTAGACATCCGTCAGTATCACTGTCGTGTCAGCGCCAATCGCGAGGACCTTGAGCCGCACACTACCGACGCACGTCAAAAGCAACGACTCCCCATCTGCCATTTCGATTTAGTAGTCGCATGCGCTCGATTCAAACAGTAGAGGCTCTTCGTCAACGGGATGCCGACTCGCACTGCTGTAGAGGATCCAGTTGTCTCGCCTAACACCTTGCGCGCCGATCGTCGTACGTACGAAATCTCGCGCGCAGCTCACTGCTGATGCTTTGACTCTTGCGTCACTTGCAGCTGTCGCTTTTCCGCGCAAGATCTTCTTCTCCAACTTGCGATGCTTTGGAAGCATGCTAGTCGCCTTCTTAGCAAGCTCGAGCACCATGTCTCTCCCGCCGTTCGCGCCGCTCGTATAGTCGTCGAGCTCAACTCCCGCTTTGCACTCGGAAAGAACGTGTCCGGACCTTTCACAGCGGAAACCCGCCTGGTAATCTCTCTGCTTTGTCTTGACGTACGCCGCGATGATTCGCTACCCACCGCGCCGGCGCCCATCTCGATTGACTGCACAGTGAGCGCCAGCCGTACACTTGGCGCAGGTAGTCGGTGCTCGTCGGCTCGTACATCGCTCGAATTGACGTTCACGAGCTCCGGCGACGCGTGGTCCACATGGTTGTCGTACACGAGCGAATCGGCGCCGCAGGGAGCGTTGTTGACAGCAACCAATTGAGAAAGTGAATTCCACAGGAGCGTCACGCTTCTTCTTTTTCATATAACAGCTTCACGGCCTTGATTGTCGTGATAGTCGTCTTGAACGACAGGTGCAGCTGCTTCAATATGTACTCGAGACGTGTCATCTGGACCCACCAGGTTTCCACCTGCTTGTGGTAATACCGCTCGGCGATACCCACTAGAATGTGGATGAGATAGATCAACCTAGACGTCCTCGATCCACCCGAAACCGGACGATGTCTCTCCTAGGTTTACATTGCGCATGAAGGTGCAACCCCAGTCGAAGAAGCCACTGGCGAGACTCTTGTAATGCTTGTTCCTGTCAGCTTTGTTGTTAATCTTGCGCTGACTCGTGTCGGTATCCCGAAGACGTTGAGTCCCGGACGCTCGTGCGCCAGCAGCGGAGCGTTCTGCTGAGGTGGCGGCGCTGCGTACATCGGCGAGTGGTGCTGCGGCCTCAAGCACCCACCGGGCTGCTCGAGCGACCCATTGTAGGACACACCGAGATCTGGCGCGCAATGCACGCGCGGTCTCCTGGCGGCCCATGTGCGTCGATCGTCATCGGTCGACCGCGCATCTTCGCGCCGAGCTTCGACGCAAACATGCCTTTCTCGACAGCCCCCATCATCCACTCTTTTTCGTCGCGCACACGCTGCGAAGACTCGAGCACCGTCAGGCGTTCTGTCACACCAGCGAGTGCTGTGAGGATAATGTCGTCACTCATCTTGTAACGGGGCACCTTTTGTTTGGGTGCCGCGGAACTTCGTGTACACTAGTACGTGCAGAGGAAGCTAATCCATTCAAACAACTTGTTTGAGTAAAGGGTAAAAAGAGAAGTGTATTGAATATGGTTAAGCTATCAATATAACTTAATCTTTATCTAACTATATTAAACTACGTCGTCGTATGACGACAACCTGCTCACCACTCATTGCGCGCGTCTAGCAGCGATTGGTGGCAATCTATGGTTGATATGTCTGTATCAACCAATCTTTGAGCAGCGCATAGATGTTATCCTAAGGGGATAATATACCTCCAATATTATCTATCTCAGATAACATTGGTAGGGAATTGTCACGCAAGACAATATCCCTATTGACACCGTTTAGTGTCAATATCATGTAACGGGCTACCCCGTTACACATCTCGCTCTCACGAGCGGGCGAGTCCTTGACGGCTGCTGACGTATCCACCGACAAAGGCACACGCGCTAGCGAGCCACGCTCCGGGGTAGCTCGCGCGACACCACTTGGTGTCTTTCCAGTCGCATAAGTTATTTCTGCCATAAAGCTTATGACCTGTTGGCACGCAAATGTTTAGTACAGTAGGAGGTAGGTCAAGGAAAATAACATTCCTTTTTCGACCTACCTATCCTTCTGTCTTTTTGTTATGCATGCACACTCCTCTGTATAGAGCTCTCTGCACCACTTATCGTACAAATGGCTCGGTGACTACCTTGCTGACGTGAAAAAAGCCTGGCGCAAAGCGAAACTACAAGTTAGAATACCTGATCTACCAAACAGCACACCACGCGATTTCCTTAAAACGCTTCAGTAGCTAGCTGTAAAAACACGAGATGTTGTATCACGCGGTGCACGTTCTATTGATATACTTCGTGGCCAAATGAACGAATTTTTTCGAAAGACGACGCTTTGTGACAAATCGCGAATCTGCATCATATCGCCAACCTGACTCATCATAGCCCTCTTGAGTGGAATATACTCTAAAACATATGATTTCTCAATAATCTGCACGCATAATGCCGACCTGCTTCTCTGAGCTCGGTGACGAGCTCCTTGCAAACGTGCTAAGCTTTGCCGCGCCTCGAGACGTCGAGTCTGCCACTGTCGCGTCTTCGGTGGTCGCTCGAGACGTCATACCGCAGTTTTCAGATATTTGGAAGAACATTTTCCTCCGTCGGTGGGAGGTGCTCAATTTCCCACTCCACGGCGTTGCAGAAGGCGAGACACTGCTCCAGATTAACGAGCAATTGGACACTCTATTTCCCAGGTTCTGGTGATATTTCTATCAGGATTATGGTGGTGGGCAGTAAGATGCTGAGATTTGTGGAGATTTTGTTGGTTTAGTTCGTGCACGGACAACCGCAAATTCCAGTTGCTAGCGCATGCCATTGTCCCTGTGCCTTCTTATGCCGATGTAAAAGAAACACAAAGAAACGTGGGCTATCTTGATGCATATCATAGGTATGTATATTTTCATTTGTTTAGTATAGTGCTGCAGTGGCACTGACGTTGTCTCTATTTCTATAGGATCATTTCACTTCAGCCATCCGACTTGATGCAGACACACACGGTCGATTTTGCACTAGATGGACAAATGCTGGGAAACGATCGGTGCGTCCGATCAAATATGCCGTTTCTGACGACGCCCCATGTCGCGGTGTACAAGCATATTTTAGCCGAAAAAGACAACGCTCAAGGCCAAACTCGGCCAGTTTTTGAGATCGGCATTGTTAGTGGAGGATACTTTGAGCTGAGCTTGCGGGAGCGACAACATCGACATGCGCGAGTTTCTTCTCTGTTTGGCCACGAACCCATGACGTCAATCGGCCTGGTGGATGCAAAGTTCCCGCTGGTGGGCAAGCAACCGGGGTGGACACGGAGATCGTATGGGTATCATGGCGATGATGGTCGATACTATCACGGCACTGCGTTTGAGGTGATGTGCTGATCTGTGGATGGTATATACTTACGCTCAGCACCTGACCATGTGCTTCAACTACGATGCCACTAAAAGCAGGGTCGACCTTTTGGCTCCAGGTTCAAAGCTGGCAGCACTGTTGGCTGTGGGATTTGGACTAGTCTTGATGCAGGAACGCGATCCGTGTTTTTCAGCAATAATGGTGAGTTGATCTCCACTCTGAATGGAGCGTATATTGAGGTCGAGCATCGGAACTGGTACCCGGCAGTTGGACTGGACTCCTACGATGCGTTGCATGTTAACTTTGGACAAGAACCGTTCGCGTACAGCAATATTGCAGGTAAGGGGTGGCGTTTGTTGTGACGAATTGAAATTGCGACAAAAGTAGGCTAACAGCGCACGTCTTTTTGCGATGCGCTGAAATGCTTTTCAGATCGATTGATTCAACAATGCAACATTATGGGGACTGCTGTGATCGAAAAACTGCAGTGGTATAGTATTTGTGACTCGGACGGTGAGAGCACCGAAGATGGAAGGAATAGCAGCGAAGGTGATTCTGGAAATAGCGCTGGATCAGACATGTCCGACGATGATATCAGAGCCGGATTGATTGTACGCATATTAGCAATGCGACAAGCAGGAATGGACTTCGTTTGACAAAACGCTCGCGATGTTGACAATCATGTCTGGTCTAGCTCGGACGAACTCTTCGCACGTGCTGAAGTGAGGGGAAGACTAAGTTGCAGATATAACAATGTGCGGGATCAGCTTAATATGTATGAAACACCAGCAGGGCAACACTCATCTGATGTAGAGTTCGTCTCTTGTTACGTTCATGTTGTGCTTGCAATACAATCAAGTGCATAACATGATCATATTCATACGCTAATTTTGCATCGCAAGGGTCAGAGAGCATATGGTCAATGATCGGCACAATATCACTAGGGTGTTTCCCGGAGAGAATAATAAAAAGTGTAAGTTTCGGTTCGGGACGTCAAAAAATAATTGCCGAGCAGATTGTAATGGACTTCATGACTTCGATGCTGTTGTTGTACTGGTGACTCTGCTTTACTTTTTTCATTGCCAAAGGTTTCATGAAGCTTCGAACACGACACAATGGCCGTAAGTGATCCTGGGCATGAACGACGAGAATCCACTCGCATACACGAAGACGAGGTATACCCAGCTATTCGTTGTCGGCACCACACACTACGGCAATTTTTATCCTGTACAACTTTTAGTCAGCAGAAAAGCATCCATTAGAAGTAGCCGTTCTCATAGTAAGACAGACGTTGGACATTTGTAGGCGTGGTGGATGACTGCTATCAGATCAAGACGAATGGAAATGATTAAAACATGATCTTCACCTAGTTGTGCACCCGGTGATAAATGCATGATTTCTTACAGATGTTCGCTAACGATACGAACGTGCTTCGCAAGCTACGGCAATGTCGATGGTATAAGTTCGAAACACACGCCTGCTAATTGCATGATAAGAAATGTACAGCTGAACAGTCATGAGCAAATGCAGAATGTATCACAAGCATTGAGTCTATGCAAGACGCGACTCATGTCATCAACTGCAAGGGATAGTACTTGTGAGCGAAACATAACTTTTCCGCATATTTTCTGCAACTCCAACAATAAGCATGGACCGTGACCGCGACTTTGCTACCGTTTCGGTACACCGCCGTCCTCATTTAGCACATTCACTTCTCCAGCCAGCCTCACCCCATGTGCCACATACTCCAACCATCACTCTCGCTCAAACTTGCAAAGTATGGCCTAGGCCAAACACGTAGAGCGGTAACGTGGTAATGATTCGATACAGCAAATCAGGTTGCCTCATGAATTGCCCGTCGTTAGCATCGCCCGTGCTAAAGCCAGATCGACGTTACTGTTGTAAAGCTATGCTAGCTACGCCTTCCCTACGTCTACCACAATGTTGCATAGTTTTCGTTGCCATACTCGTGCTGCATGCAAATAGTCTAGCTCCATAGTGGTCATTGTGACAGCGTCTATGTCGATGTTTGGCGTGACACAGTAACAAACCTCGTAGATCTGCACGGCTTCTCGAGCTCGCGTTTGGTTTCAGGCTTACTTGTTCCAATAGAATAAGTCGTTACTCACCATAATTTACAGCTATGTGCGCTCGATGGCAACCACGTTTCTGCAGACTTTTCATCGCCCAGACGCATCACTAAAGACACGGTTAAGAGAATAGGAATAAAGGACTTGACCATGTTGATGTTGATAAACTGTTAGTGCGACAAGAAACGACACGACGTCGCCCCTAGGTACACTTTGGTGCGATAGCGAGCGACACAAGGTCGCTGTTAGGTACGCTTCGAACAAGACTGTTCTTCAACAGGATCATCCCAAAATATATTTTTTACTTTTTCCGATTTTGCCTCAGGCAACGTCTTCGTTTTCACAAAATCTGATGAAGCATGTCGACGAGAACCTAGATGCATGTCGAAGACGGTATGGATTTTATACCGGCTTCATGCTTGCACCATCGTACCGAATTTCTAGGCACCGCAGATGCTACAGGCCTGCTTGAACGCCGCAATCAACTCGAGCCGAAAGTGACTCGCACTCCGCAGATCGAGCCACCCTTTCGTCTACCCGCGATGACGGAGTGCGTTAAATGGGACTGACTCTGCTCCAGCGTCAGAGACGAGCCAGAGTATGTCAGTATACAAGCACTCAGCCGCGGTTCGCCCATTACTACCGTGGGATGACGAGGTACGGCATGGTGAACAAACACTCAGGTAGAACAACAAGTGTAGTTGCTATTGCATGAGCTTATAATGCGGCTGCTTGATGCGCTAGCACCTCTGTTATAGTAAATTGTCACACAAGGCTGTTCTTCCTTCATATCGACCACAAAACACGGCACACACTGCACGACGCAACTGCAAGACGATCAACATGCGTCTACGATTTACACACACGACTACCGGCTCGTCTCGTCTCAGTTCGACCCCAACTTCCTTGTTCCGTCACACGCTGGAATTGCTGTCGAAAGTCGCGACTCTGTTCACATGCTAGGCTTTAGGGGCAAATTGTATGTAGTCACGTCATAGCTCGAAGAGCGTCGTCTCGAGTGACGTCACAAATTCTTGAGAGTGCTACGAACCTTTAGAAAAATGCAAATCAGATAGAAAAAAAGCATCGCGCACTTCAATCAAACGCATGCTTCTGTGCCCGACTTCGCTCCAGATTGTCAACCCGACCAGCCGGGGCCTCTAGACGTTACGACAGCCGTTGTTAGCTCGAGCGGTTGTAACAGCAAGTGCTCCAGCTTTAGAGTTCGTAAACCCGAGGCAGATACGAAAAAGACGAAAAGTAGCAGCAAGCACAAGGCAAAAATCGATTGAGATGGCCACTCGGATCGCGGACGCCAGCATGGCCTTCAGTCGCAGTAGTAGCAGCAACGAGAGCACACCCACGATATCGAAGCTCGAAACGACGCGTCTGGCACTCGCGCAGGAGCAGAAGAAGCGCATTGACGCTGCCGTCGCGCGGGTTACGGGCAAGCGAGAGAGCAGTAAGCGGAAAGGACTGGGAGAGCGCGGGGTGGATGCTGTCCATCGCAGTAAGAAGATCAAGACAGTCGTGGACGTCACAAGCGACCCAGTGGACAAGAAGAAGAGCTCGATTGCTCGACGGATGGTCGACCGCTTCGCGACAATGCCCGAGCCAGAGCACGAGGAAGGGGCTGAGCAGGCGAAGGAAGAGCCAGTTACACGTTCGGTGACAACTGCACATCAGTTTGTGACACGGTCGACAGTTGGGGATGCGGCACATCTATTGGACGAAACTCTGCCGTACGTGATGCTGTTCCTATTGCTTTTTGAGCAGTCATTTTGTTTGTCTTGACTGAGGTGAAGTAGCAGCAAAAGAGGCTGATAGGTTGTGTGGCATGCAGTGAGACAACGCATCATGTGACAACGACTGTAAAGACGACTACAGTGACTGTGACGAAAGAAAATATTGTGGAAGTGGTGTCCAAGGAAGAGAAAGCGAATAAGAGCGAGGAGGAAGAGGCTACAGTAGTCGAGGAAGAGGAGGAAGAGGAAGAAGAGCAAAAGAGTGCGTGGGATGGACCCTCCTCGAATTTCCACGTCAAGCAACTGGGTCTGGATGACACGGTTGACATCTACGCTCCGATTGCACAGCAACAAGAAGATGTGCAGCGCGTGCGTGAACGTGTGAAGTACATGCCGAGGATCAATACCATCAAGTCGATTGCCGTGACGAGCAGTTCGGAGGCAGACATGGATTTTGTGCCCACGAAAGTTTGTGATCAGGACTCCGATGCTGTGTCTGTACCGGAAGTTAGCAGTGACGAATCGCAAGTTCAAGCGGAAGAGACTGAAAAAAATGAGCAGCAGACAGCGATCTCGACAGCTGGCGTGCACCGGACTTGGGTGACCTGGGTGTTTGTCTTCACACCGCTAGTCGTTGTGGCAACTATTGTGCTAGTGTTCACGCTGCTCTTTGCGCTCGACTGGTCGCAGGAGACATTCCAGTTCTATGAGATGGATGCAGAGAGCGCAGCAGGTACGTGCGTTGGTCTGTTGATTCGTGCATACGGGTGTGCATAGATTTGTATGTGATGAAACGTGTGTGATTATATCCGGTACGGTTGCTGGTGTAGGCTCTGAAGAGATCTTCTCGTGCGCCTCGTTTGTGGAAACTCAGTCATTGATCAAACGCCTGATGCGGGAGGCTGTGCACAAGGCGCAAAGGACTGTGCATTTGTATCTCGGTTGAGCATTTCCAGTCATGCGGATGGCAAGAGAGAGAGAGAGAGCAGGGGAGAAATGGAGCAGGAGTTGCAGTTGCATTATTGTTGCATACTTTATCATTTGATAACTTAGGAATGTCACGGACGTTGTTTGCCACACCCACCCGCGAGCAGCGACATCCGGAAAAAAGCACACGATTAGCCAAGTGTGTTCAAAGCAGATAATGTGATCAATTGATCGCACCGCAAATCCGCGACGAATTGTTTGTCACGACTCGCGCCACTCGTTGTGGTACTGTCGTCTCTCATTGGCTGAAATTACTCAACTCGCAACCACCACGACAACTCGATTGAGTTAAATGACGACGACCAAGATCGTGCTCTCGTTCGATGGCGCGCGCGAGCTCGTGACGGCAACGCGCGCCCACGAACTCATACAGACGTACGCTCACGCCGATTCCGCGGACCTTCCACCACCTTTCTTCACGCACATCACGCTGCGTAACAAGAGCTACACGCTCGAAGCGGCGCGTGTAATCGCTGCGTTTTTCTTGCGTCTCGAAGCCCGCGGCGCGTTTGTGCACCTCAAGAGCGTGGATTTTGCTGACACAATTGCTGGTCGTCCAGAAGAAGAAGCGCTGCAAGTGCTGGCGACGCTTTGCGACTCGTTGACGGCGATCAAGACGCTCACACGTATCGATTTGAGCGATAACGCGCTGGGTGAGAAGGGCGTGCGCGCGTGTTTTGGACTTTTGCAGCATCAAGAAGAGCTCCAGCACATTTATTTGTGCAACAATGGCCTTTCTGCGGCTGCTGCTCGGGTCATTGCAGACGACGTGCTCCTGTTTCGGGGTCTGGATACACCTACGAAGCTCGAGAGCTTTCACTTCTACAATAACATGAGTGGTGATGGCGGTGCTATGGCTCTAGCCAAGATTTTACCGCTGTCACCATTGCTGAAAGATCTGCGATTTTCAGCGACGCGGGCCCAGCGAGAAGGCAGTCTGGCGTTTGCTACGGCTTTGGCGTCGCTCACGAATTTGGAAAGACTGGATCTAAGTGACAATACGTTCAAAGCACCGGGGGCCAAGGCTATTGCTGCTGCTGTGAAGAACATGCCATACTTAGAGAAGGTGAACTTCCGTGACGCGGCTCTTGAAGACGCTGGTGTAGTGGCTATTGCCGATGCACTGCGTGAAGGAGGTGCAGCGAAGAGTCTGACGGTATTTGATGTGTCAGGTAACGACCTGTCTGCTGAGAGTATGCCGATGCTGGGAGAGCTGCTGCGCGTAAGCAGTGCGCTGCGTGTTTTGCAGGTGGAAGAGAATGAGATTGGATCAAAGGGTGCTAAAGCTATTGCTAAGGCTTTGATAATGGGATCACCGATGCTGGAGAAAGTGGTTGCAAATGTCAACGAGATCGGTGCCTCTGGTGCGCTTGCCCTTGTCAAGTCTGTGGTCGATAAGAAGATGTTTGCGAAGCTCGATATCAATGGGAACCAGATTTCGGCACAAGGCGTAGCTAGTATTGAGTCGCTGCTAGAGAGTCTGAGCAAGGGCACGATATTGGGGTCGCTGGAGGACAACGACGAGGACGAAGGCGATGAAGAGGAAGACAAGGGAGAGGAAGTCAACGAGGCTAGTTCGTTGGATGATGTGACGGCCATGCTAAGCGAAAAGTTGACAATCTCGCCAGATACGAGTTTCGAGTTCGAAAACAAGAACCGCGAAGTCGTTGACGCAGCGCGTGCTCAGCAGCTGCTGGAGGCTGCCGGTATTGCAGTAAGCGAGCAGTCGCCTCTACACTTCAGATCCATCTCTTTGCGCGGGAAGAGCTACACTGACTCGGGCGCGCAAGTGATCGCAGATGTGTTCCTCTCTCGACTCCAAATCGATCTCAAGGTGGTTGATCTGGCTGACGTGATCGCCGGCCGCCCAGAGGACGAGGCACTTCGAGTTTTGTCGATTATGTGCCGCGCTCTTCGTGGTCACAACCTGGACGAAATCGATCTTAGTGACAACGCACTTGGTGAGAAGGGCGTGCGTGCTTGTTTTGATCTGCTGATTCCGCAGCCAACACTTCGCCGTCTTCTCTTCTGCAACAACGGCATCTCGTCCGCTGCTGCTAGCTTGATTGCGCAGGAGATTGTGCTACAGAACGGCAAGGCGACTCAGTCTTCTCTTCAAGAGTTTCATTTTTATAATAACATGAGTGGCCATGACGGCTGTGTGGCGGTGGCCGACGTCATTCCGTACTGCAAAAGGCTGACGCTGCTGCGCTATGCAAGTGCCCGTGCTGGCTCGGAGGCAAGTGAACACCTGGCTCGCAGCGTGAATGATCACTTGCGCGACCTGAGATCGCTGGACCTGAGCGACTGCTCATTTGAACATGATGGCGTCACGCAGCTTGCAGAGGCGATTAGTAAGCAATCTGGTCTGCAGTACCTAAAGCTGCGCGATGCTTCGCTCTGCAGTGAAGGTGCTGAGATGGTGGCAAAAGCGCTGTCGAGTAGCAAGATTCAGCTATTGGAGCTGGATTTGTCCGGCAATGAGCTGGCGGACGAAGGTCTTGCGGCTCTTGTTTCGCTACTGAAATGCCAGTCGCAGCTGAAGGTTTTGCGACTTGACGAAAATGAGGTGACATCTGAAGGGCTGAAGAAGTTTGTGGCGGCTTTGGGCACCGACAGTCTTCTGTCTCTCGAGGAACTGTCGCTGTGCGGCAACGAGATCACAGCGAAGGGAGCGATCGCCATGGTGGATGCTTTCGTGCCGACCAAGCCGACTCTTGTGCGACTGGAACTTGATACGAATATGATCTCTGATAAGGGCGTGGAGTACATAAAAGCTTTTCTTGCCACGCAAGACAAGGCTCAAATCTTAGGGTCGCTTGAAGACAATGACGGTGACGAGGAGAGTGGTGAGGAGTGAGAGAAGTGTCTATTTGTGTACGTTGCTGTACAATCCTTGCTTAAACGACTGGTTTGCCCACTACTTTCTATTCGTTGTGTCTACCCCGCCTATTGTACTTTTGAGGTAATCCTTAAATTCCGGCGGTTAGCTACAAAAATACTTGTGACTGCACTGATGGAGTCTCCGGTCATCAGCGCCATCATTGTCATGATGTGGAACGAATGTAAAACTCATTTCAATGTCAGAAAGTAGGTGTCGGAACCATGTGCTCGTTTTTTCTCGTTTCATAAAATGGTTTATTCTCAAAAATGGGTAACGTTTCTAGCAACCCGAGAAAGCAAACAAGAGATTCGCTTACCTATTTCCTATGCAAAAAATCTTCCAAATATCGCACTACCACAATCCACAATATCACAATGAGAAAGGAATTATCGGAAAATTGTCAGTACTTTGCAAAACTATTCGGCACAAGAGACAAAAGTTACGTTTCAAGATAGAAATTTCGGGCATCATGCCAGACTCGACATCTGATCCTGCTGCACTTATGGTCGTGAACACGCTGCCGTCTCTCAATCCTCCGCTGTTCTTTGAGATCGTAGAGGACCAGGTCTACCGATCCAATAAGTGCGACGTCTCTTCATTCCCGTTCCTAGCCACGCTGCAACTCAACACGGTCGTGTATCTCTCGTACGACGACCTCTCGCACGACTTGGCGGCGTTTTTCACCCAGAAGGACATCAATGTGGTACTATGTTTGCTCTCTAACTGTACGCACACATCCTTAGAAGGTTAATCGTCTCCTTCTTGTCCATTTTGTGTCGATTTTGATGATGTAACTAGATCCATCTCGGGATGAAATACCGCACGGCGTCATCGCAGTGGAAAGGGATTTCTGAGGGAATGGCCAAAGAGACGGTTGAGTGCATCTTGGATCAGAGACGACATCCAATAATTGTTATGTGCAAGTAAGCGCGACGAAATTGCGGCAAGAAGTGGACTAAGGATTAGTAACAACGCGGATGTTGTGGTTGTGTATGTTCGTGTGGATGCATGTAGAACGGGCGTGCATTTTGCTGGAACCATGATTGGCTGTCTACGGCGACTCCAGAATTGGAGCTTGACGTCGACTATCGACAAGGTGGGTACAGGCACAACAGAGCGTCCTCGCAGTCTTCTCGTTTTGGCACTGACGGGCTGAGATGAGCAGTATCGGAACATTGCTGGCAGTGTCAAGACACGATTTGAAAACGAACAGTTCATCGAGTTGTTTGACGTGGATTTGGTCACGCTGCCGCAGCAGTTGCCGTCTTGGTTCACAGTCCACCAGCGACTCATGGTAAAGCACGTCGTGATTCAGCATTTGTTTATGCTGTTGACGACGTATTTGTGCTTTTTGTAATCTTGCAATTGCAGGAAGAGGAGCGTATTGCATTGACGAAAGGCGAGTACTTTCCAGGAAAAAGTCGTGACAAGGACGATCAGTATAAGCAGATTAGCTCGTTGCACGACGAAAGCGCGGGCGGAACGTGTCAGCTAGAGGATGACTCGGGCTCCTTACAAACTATGACAGATTTAGCAGTTCCGGCGTACCAGAAGTACTACTTCTATCTGCAAGGCCCGCTTGTGTCTCCGTCCGTGAAGTTTTCGGAGAAGAAGAGCATTATCGGTGACGATGATGATGACTGAAGTGTAAGTAGACACTATGAACTCCTGAGTGTATTTTTGACCACCGTCATCAAAAGCCGATGAAAAGAGTAACACGGTACTGATGAAATGCTACACTGCCTGGAGTAGCAGGCTAAAAAATGCCTAAGTCAGGTCTTGCGCCGCATCGCCCTCGCCAACGATACCCTCCTTAACGCGCAGCAACAGCGTGATCTTCCACGGCTCGATTTTCGAAATCGTGTCATACTGGAAGACCGCATCCGCAAACGCGTCAGCATTGAAGGCCTCGTAACTCTTGTTCATTTGCTGCAGAAATTTGCCCTCACGACTGTCAGCGAAAGTGTAGTCGATATCCTGGAACTCGTCCCATTTCATCTGCACCAGCACCGTATCCTTCGTGGCTAGCGCACAGATACCGGCATTCAGCAGGTGACTTTTGGCGTTAAATTTCAGCAGATTTGACTCCATAGACGACTTCGCGATGCTCTCGTAGATTTCCAGCGCCGCGTCGAACCTGGACAAACGACAGCAAAATCAGTCACCGCTATCGAAAACCTCAGTCGATCATCATCCATGACCCACTTTTCCAGCTCGGCCGAAAACTGCGCCACCTTCAGCAGCATGTTGTTGGCCGAAGATGACTGGTTCTCTCCAGCAAAGTAGTCAGCAGCCTGGCGATAGGCCTCTAAAGCCTCTTCCTTGTGGCCCTGTTGTTCGTAAAGCTCGCCCACCTGCTTCTGTAGCTTGGCAGCGTTCGAAAACCGACCGGCATCGCACAACATCGAGATGGCTGTCTTGTAGTGCACCATAGCGTCTGTCACACCAACGTCCGAGTCGTGTATCCAACGTCAGCTTCAATCAATTTGGTTCCCTCTTCCCCTCTTGCAGATAAAATCTCACCCATTGGATTCACTTTGCCAAGAGCTTCTGCCGCGTGCTGGTAAAACTGGGCGGCACGCGAGTTTTCTTTCATTCGAGCCTGGACCAAATGATAAGAATACACAAAGACACGTCAGTCCGTCAGTAACATGACAATTCTTCCCTCCATTTTGAGCTCACTTGGCAGCGCGCGCATCGCTCGTACGCTTCACCAGCCTTCTGCCCTGTGACGATTGATCGTACATAAGAGAGAACACGAGCAATCAATTGTTATATAGCAGACACATTTCAAACGAAAACGAGAGTTCAACGAGCGCTGGTGTACAGTTCTTGGCGATCTTGAACTGGTTACCAGCCTTTTCGAAAAAGTCACTGGCGTCTTCATTGCGCTGCGAGCTCGAGCCAAAGGAGAAGAAGGACGTCTTCTTTAGCGCCTTCTCACCTTGTGCCAAGAAGCTGTTGGCCTTATCTTCGGCGGTCATTTCGCACTGATTGTGAGTGGCCGACGCTTCTTGACGTGCCGGCGTTCCCCCTTTTCGTCGGCACAAAGTTTTATCAGCTGAAATGGCAGTGACAAATCGTTAGCAGTCCCTGATACCGGATAAGGGATAATACCGTTGTGCGAGTCAGTACCCTACCGATAAAAAAGAACGAAAAGTAAGAGTCGCTTACTTTAGACTCGTCTTTTACTCTGTACCTATTTTCCTCGAAAAAACTCCTTCTTTGAACACGTTTGTACCTTTTCAGGGAAAATGCAGAATACGAGATCTTATCGTGTCGTGATTGGTTAGTGTACCGCAAAGTTTAGCTTATTTCGCGCACTTTCAGCCGGTGCTAGTCGCGCATTCACCAGACACCGCTAGCAGAGAAACCTACACTTCAGAACCCATGATTTTTGAAGCTTTTACACCGACCAACACTGATTGCAAAGAGTGTAAGCCACCAAATGTCACACTGAAAGGCTGAAACCACAGCTTCATTTAGGACGACCACCGCTTTCGACGCCCGTGGCAGTAAGTTATCTTCGGTATATCTTTATTGCTGCCTAGACTATACGATTGTTCGGCATTATCCACGCAGACCTCCACAACACATGTATCTTTGTGATTAGTTGTAATTACAGATCATTCTACAGCACTCACTTTTTGCGTGTTTGTTAACAGTGCTATCACTATCGAAAATGAGCATTATGCCAACTCGCTGAAGAAGAAAAGTTAAGAACTACGACTCATGGTGAAGGGGCGCAACTGATGATAAAGGTGCGCGATTATTGCAATCGACGAGTAGCTATTAGAAACCTACGCAGGAGAAGCTGAAGTAAAGGGCAGAGATGTAATCAGGATAACACGCTCAAAAGCATTAAGTTTTCGATTTGCCATCCCAAACTCAGTAAGCATGCAACAGGTTATGAGCTCAAGCGACAACGACTCAACTCCCCATCTGCAAACCTTCGGCATACGACGTCACCAAGACAGAAGCTCACGCTCAAAGCGGGGTCGCTGACCCGTCCGAGACCCAAGACAGCACCATTCGTTTTCCTGATGCGAGATCTGAGCGGATGGACCGGCTTTGAGGACTCATCGAAAGGATGGTGCAGCAACAAGCTCAGTTTATGGCTAATCAGTTGAAAATGCCAGATCAGCTGAGTCGTCATGACGATGCTGCGCACAAGCCACCTTCCGAGCGCGTGTTCGATAGTTTAAGCGTGTTCATCGACTTCAACGGAGCGCGGGACTGTCGGATGAGAAGTGAATCACTTGATGAGCCATGCAGAATGCCATTCCGACTGTAACGCCATGCATACCACCGCCTAACATCAGCCATTGCAACAAGTGATTTAGTATCAGTCGACGGGACCGTTACAGTATTTCGCGCCACGTAAAGGTTGGGCTGGATATAGCAATTTTTAGGGACCTTTACTCTCCTAACTTTGCCAAGTTTACGGGTACGGACGTATATCAAGGCGTGGGTGCCAACTGTGAGGCGTCAGTATGCGTTTCCTACACCAACTTCGTGCAGCCCAGATGATGGATCTAAAAAGTTAAAGGTCCTCACGCTGAGTTTAAGTTGGATGGGGCGGCGCTCAGCAATTACGAGAAGATGCTAATAGTATGGTCGTCGGTGTCGAACACACACTCGAACACGTCTTGAACAGCATGATGATGCTATGCATGACACCAATAACAATTTATAAAAGGAATTGAGCTGATGACAAGCAAGCAAGGTCAAAGCAAGACATGGCCCGAGCACTACCAGTTCAATGTGTACGTGGAAGAGAGGTTTGATAATTCAGAGCAGAGTATGCTGGGAAGCTTTTGTAAGTCGGTGACCTCGCATATTCAGACCGTGATATTAACTCGGCTGAACGCCCAACGACCTTATTATCTTATGCAAGTCGATTGGATGGTTTCATTCGCTATCTATGTCTAGATCAGCATGAAGAAGACGAAGAGAGGGGGGAAGGAGATCGAGCTGATCGATAAGGCCGCGTGCTAGGAAGTCGTTACCTCGGCGGTGGACGAAACGACAGAAGTGAGCACGAGGTGATATTGCTGATTCCCGTCCTTGTCATGATTATGTTCAAGCTGGACATATTGAAGCAAAACGTCCTAAAAAGCGACACTAATTCGGTTTCGAGCCGGAATGCGCTAGCCATCAGGACCGGTAGGCTCCGACTCGTGGATCCTGGACAGCGATTCGAATGTACACCTTGTAAAACATCCGAGGAATAGTGATGGATGCAATCTTTCATGTTGCGCGCGGACAACACGATGGTCCAGGTAACCAAGAGGAGCGGTCTAGCTGAGGACAACGGTAAATAAAAGCATTTATCGTGGACCTTAGTGAGGTCTACTAGGCTGAAAAATTTACGGGTAACATCATCAGCTATGGTTTTATTTAGGAACGTGGTGTGTTTATCTTTTGAGAAGAGTCAACGAAAGTTATGTGATGCGCCAAGAGGACAACATGAAGATGCTGAAGGAATTTTGCCGCAACGATTTCCTGAATATCAATCCCATAGGCGGGAACACAAAAGATGCAATTGTTCGGGTGGTCAAGTCAGACGTTCAAAATGTCAAGATGGAATGGATGAAGCTATTAAGGATACAGCAATTCTAGAGCTTCATTATAGGCTCGGCCATATTGCTTATATTTTTAGGTAAGCCTACTCGGCGAGCTCGGGCATCTGTTGACCGACCGATCTCATCCAAATGTTACACTTGAACACCAGGCAAACAGAGGAAAACCAACTGATCCGAGAAGGACCCAGATAAGAATGCACTGATTAAATACATGATAGGCGTATCGGTAGCAACATTAAGGATCCGATGGCCCTGATGGACCGGCTAGATAAAGGATACCTCAATGAATTCGTCGACTACTCGAAAATTTATGCACGCGCGTTAGTCTCCCAAGATCGGGGCGACGATGAATTTTGAAGCAATTCCTACTCAAAGTCTGTAAGATATACAGTAGTTGCATTCATAGATTACGCACGGACGGTGGAAAATAGTCTGTCAACGTCATTTTGTTCTGCAGTTCAGATAAAATGAGACGTCAATTCAGCGAGGCCGATAACGAGGATCATAAGGAAAATATTAGCGAATGTAACAAACGGTTCTTAACATGGCAAGACGTACGCTGTTTGCGAGCGGCCTGACTCTAATGTTTTGGAGTGTAGCCATTGGGTATGCAGCGTATCTATAAATAGGAGCTGGTGCAGTGCCAACCCGAAACATATGTCACAGCTATAGATGTAACCGTGTAAGGTACTGAACCTAGTAAATATGGTGTTTCGTAGGCGTACCGTGCTATACATTCAGGGACCCCGAAGAAAATGGAAGACAAGATCTCAGGTTGGCATGGTCATCGGTAAGCACGATGGTCAATGGAGTACGGGTGTATCTGGTTAAGGTCTATTAATCATAAAGCTGCGTGCATTGCAAGTTACACCCATCGCTTACTATCTTCCGCACTTGCAGAAGTAACAAGGACCACGAAAATGACGACAACAGCCTTTGTCGACAGTGCTATAGCTTACGAAATCTTGTGCGCTATCTTTTGTTGATTGGGTGCGCGTCACAACGAAGCACATTCTCAACGTTAAGATACCTGACACCGAGCTTTATGGTCAGCTACAGGCGTAGCATGCGCGTGAAGACCTCATGCTACAGCACGATATGGTAGAGCACGACAATGCCACTGAGCAGAAAGAGCTTGGGGTGGTAATGTTGCGGGCAACATGGGCGTCTGCTAAGCCAAAAAAAAGAGTTGGCTAAGTCATCAAAAGCATAGTCAGGTCGAAGAGATATCGGCTGAGGTAGAGAAGAAACGGGATGGGGCATGGAATCCGCTAATTTAAAAGAAACCGATAGCGGGGACAAGCTACTGCTCGCGGAAAAGCAAACGCGATCTTAATAGCATACTCAAAATATGTATGCCAAAAAAACACTTACTTGTGAGCCAAGAGAACGCGATCATTCTCAAAAATTTCCCAAAAACTAACGCAAAGCGATGAGTGCCCAAGAATTAAGCAGTGAAATAGGGCAATGCGCAAATACATTGAGGCTTTGGAGTATAACGACACCTGTATGAGCATAGCCACGCGACCCCGAATTACTAAACAGTAAACGGGTGTACAAGCTTAAAATACACGCGGACCGTACTATCAAACGATCCAAGGCAAGGAAAGTGGCGCGCGACGACAAAAGGTATTAGGTAAATATTACCCCATCGCTTTCTTGGATGTGATAGAGATGACCTCTAGCAGACTGATAATATCTGTGTCAAGGATACAGGAGTGTACCTGCTCGACAAGGCGATGTTCCAAGCGCTAATGTGAAAGTTTGGCTTGGTTATTCCATTTCACATTCCATGGGTACTGAACTATGTGCCTAGTTGCTACGAAAACGTTTTGGTGCGGGACGAAAGACAGCCCGCACTGAGACTCAAGAAAAGCCTGCATGGCCTAAAACAGTCGTACCTGCTGTGGAATCTGATACATTATCACTTCTTGAAGTAGTTGGGTTTCAGTCAGTGCTATACAGACAGTTGTCTACACGTGAAGAATAAGGTTGAAGGTAAGACGCTCGTTGTAATCCACATGAACGACGTCTGTAGACTAGAAATGATAAAAGGAAGGTCGACAACTACTTCAACCACATCCAAGTGGTCAAGTTGAAAAAAACAGTCGCGGTGAACAAGTTCCTTGGTATAGCAAAAAAATCAGCGCCAAAACCGGATGGGTAATAGTTTAAGAAAAGCCATCGACGATATGCTCGACAAGTTTGAACTTGAAGATTTGGTTGCAGTCAGGGTGCCAAAACATAGAAAGACCGTAGATTAAGAAGGTAATCTCGTCCCGTATGGTGGAAGTAGATTTCCACTTGAACACTTTGCTGCCTGATTTACCGTTGCACAAGCTCAGACACTACATTTGCGATACGCCGAGTTACTCGGCATTCTTACGCTTCAAATAAGCATACTGGTGTCTGACAAGAAGAAACCCAAGTATTTGAAGGGCAGAAAGGAATTAAGGTCATAATGCATGTAAAATTGGACGCAATCAAGTACGATGGCTTATGGCCGAAGCAAGCTGCTTTTTTACTACTCCGCAGCCAGAACTGACCGGAATTTGGTCAGTGGTAGCGTGATGAAGGTGGCAGGAAAAGTGGTGGGGTGCTTTGAAAGATTAAAAAGTTTATCGTTCGATCGATGATGAAAGCAGAAGTTGGGGTGGCTTTGCAAGATTAAAAAGTTAATCGTTTTATCGACGATGAAAGCATAAGCTGGTGTGGCTTCGTGAACAGCTGCTAAAAAGATGGGTATCATTGAAGTACTACAAGATATCGGCGTACCTTTTCAACCTAGTGTGCGTTCTAAGTTTACGAACATCAGAAAAAGGATTGCTCATGGTGTAATATGGCGAATACAATAGTATGCGTGCAGACATACCGAATGATTATCTCACCGCGCCTAGACTAAGTAAGCTCCACTGACATTTGATGCTTTCAGGGTAAGTATGACCACTTAGGAAAGACTGTTGAAGGAGTGCGACATGCGATGCTAAAAGATTTGCGACTTGTTACGTGAAAAGGAGCAGCTGATGAAAAAGGTTCTCGATCATTGCAACAATCGATAAACTAGAATAGATCTAAGCAGAACAGGGTTATTCAAACGAATACAGAGGTAGTAGAATTACACGCTCACATATATATAATGCTAAATATACCATCTCAGGCTCAGTAAGCATTTAATAAAAACTCACGGACCTTACACGTACTAGAATCAAGCGCACGTTCCTCCTGTGAGCTGGTATTACCATGAAGGCTCGTCTCACTGCATTTAACTATGTGGCAATTTCATGCGCAAGTTATATGAGGTCGATAATGAGGGTGTAAAAGCGTGTTCGCAAAACTATTATCCGCTTTTAGGCGGACCATCAACGCTGCCACACAATACCTATGTACACACCTCAGGCGCCCGCCAGTAAGCGGATTTACCGATTTCACTCGCGTGTAGGAATGCTCGGGTAAGCTCTCGTGACTTCCTCATCGATAGGTAAACGATCTGCTTTCGTGTGGCACGGACAAAAATTTCGTCTTTCACTTCACATATTGCTATAAAATTGCATCTGTAAGACTGATTTCTTTTTAATTGAAGAAATCTTTGATCTCCTCTTAGTTCATCTTTGTAAAATCCCCACAGTTTATTTTAGCGCTACATGATTGACTAATTTATCAACATGCTTGAGTGTATTATAGCATTATAACTGGTTATTACGCATCGCTTCGACCTACTCTAGTATACTTCGCGATCGTTCTTATGTTTTCTTTAGCACAAGATTCTGTCAAAATTTGCCTCGACCGTTTGCAGGCTCAAAGTTATACGTCCGCAGATTCGGTCAATCGATCATCATATTATAAGTATCGACGCCTCTACAACGGAAATAAATCCCCATCATGCTTACATTCAAAGGTTTCTGCGGTATTGAGCGATATGACAGCCCCTTTTCTTTTTTATGCATTTTAGAGTGTATTCGGATCGATTGTGTCGCGTGCACGCGACACGTTGTATAATTTTTGTCGTGTTCCTTACTGCATAGAATCCTATTTTCCTGTGCTGGTTTTTTTTGATCTGTTAATGTCCACTGCAGGTCCACATAAGAACTTGCAGCAGGACATAAAGATAGCCGTGCACGGGGTGATTTTGACAAGCGCACATGCGTAGATAAAATGATGCTCCTGTTATCACGAAGATATTAAGGCAGCACAACGATTAAGACACTTCTTTACGACAAGCAGTTGATGTTCTGTTAATGAAGCCGAGAAAAATACGCTCTCGTTTAATTAATGGTATATTTCAGTCATTTACGAGTGATAGTGCCTGCGTAGTTAAAAGACCTCTACTGAGGAGTGCTGTCAAATTTATTCAGATGTATAAATTGGGTCCGTTAAGTTTTGTAAGCGTTTGTTCGATCAATCTTCCACATCGTTGATCATTTAAAACCACCCTCATGAAACAACCGAATCTTTTTCGCAAAAGCTAACGTATTTATTGATAAGTTTCATTAGAGCGTCGGGGGAAAAGGTGCGCGGACGATGTGTTTTTGCAGACTGCGTAATATCGTCTCTCTCTTGCATGCATCTGTGCTCACACTACAACTCATACGTGAATGCATTAGGCGCATTTTCGCATCATTACGACTCTTCGTCTGACATCTACCTCGCTCGACATTCTTTCCTTCCAACAATCCTCCCACTTTGTCGGTGCTACACCATTCCTATCTAGTTGCGAAGAAGCTAGCATATGCGGCACCGCTAGGCTCTTCAACAGGACTTCTGCGAGCATCTCTTCTGTTGCCACATACGGCGGAATTATAATCCCTCCTTCCACCTTTCTCGCACGAGCTTGACATGTACGTCTACATGCTTCTGTACGCTCGACGTCGCTTCGTTTGCCAGTTGCTCGATAGCCGCTTGGAGTCCAAATACGCGCTCATCGGCAACCGAACGTGCATGCTTACCTCTTTCCAGGAGATTATGGACACCAATCAGTCTCTTCATTCCCACAGCGGCCACCACGAACCCAGCCTCCGCCATTGATAGTTCCATAGCTGACTGTTGCTTCGCTTGCCACACCACCGGTACGTTGCCTACGTACGCAAAAGCTCCGCTGTTTGACGTGCGCATTACTTTATCTGCTGCGTAGTACGAATCACTATAACACGCGAGATGTACTGTGCTCATCGCAACAGCTCCTCCCGGTGCCGCATGCTCCTCGTCCAACGCCACGTCACCTCTCATCGTCAGCTTTGAGCTCGCGGTGCCTGCAAAATATCGCATACTCCATATTGCGATCCATAGGTCGAGGTTCGCTGGTGCATGACTCTCATGTTTTGCTCCGTGTACTGCGTAGGCAAAGCCGGGTCGACTGCAGCAAGCGAATCAGCGGAGGCTGCCGACCAGCGACTAACACCACAAAACAGTCGTTCGTTCCGTGCTTCCGATTCCTGTTGAAGGCAGAGGGCGTGCGCTATCACTGTTTGACTTAAGTGACGACTCGTCCAAAATTGGCGGACACACTCCTTTTGATGATTCCATTTCATGGTTTTGCAGTAGTTCAACGATAGTTAGTATCTGCTCGATCCCATACCTAGCGTCGTTCGTGCAGCTAATTTAAATTTTAAGAAAGTACTCGGCTGCTCCTACCGACTTGAGATTGAGCGACTTCATCGCGTCGCCAAGGCGTCCATCAGCTTTTCGCTATTCGCGAATGCTAGTACGACGCTTGCGTACGCTCATAATATCGCTGTGCCTTCGCTTGATGTCTTGAAGTACACGCACGAGTCAGTGACTGACTCTTTGAATCCGATATCCGCTAATGTCTTGTCAAACAGCTTGTTCTAGTCTGCCAGATCGCTTTAGCCCATACAGGCTCTTTACAAGCTTCAAACATGCTACACTGTTATCTTCAGCATCGACGCGCGCCAGCTATACTTTGTAGACAGTCATGCCTCATGACACCAACAAGTAGCTGTCGATCTCGTATTTGGTGTTTGTCTCCAGGTACGTTCGGCACATCGAGGTAATGAGGTTACAATCTTCAAAGGCGCGCCACTGCCAGAATAGTTTTCTGGCTCGTAATGTCTAACAATGCAGAGAATGTCAAGTTGTAGTCGCGACCAACGCCACGTTCGTCGCCATCTGCTAGAGCTGCGCTTTTTGCCCTTTCAAGTATCCGATATTATCCTTCTTCTTGCGCAAAACCCATTTCGACCGCACCGGTGCATGCGCTTGCCTTGCTTGACCAGCGTATGTATATTGTGTACATCCAAAGAATCGATCTTTTTCTACACGATCTCTTCCACAGGTGTGAATCTGGCGAGTGTATCGACGCTCGATACGATCTTGGGTTAAGCAAAGCTGCAAATTCCTTACTTTCGACCTTAAGTTTAGCCATGGCGTTTGGAACGAGCAACGACGCAGCATTCACGATGTTTGCTCTATGCGGTGGTGCATTGGCTTCATCGGTTTCGCTCAGCTTTGCCTGTTTGTAGTTCTTTTGCGTTTATCTTTGTGGTAACGCTACAATCTCACAGTCATCATTTGACACAGCATCTTGTGTGTTGTCGTTTGGCTTTCGCTTCAACTTTGATCGCTTACGAGCGTCGCGCCCTTCCGTTTTGAATGAAACTCTTTCTCTAGTGGCGTTACAGTATCGACAAGCACTGGATCTTTCGAGAAGGCCTTAATGGCGTTCGTGCTGTTGCCACGATATTGCTCCTCCCGTTGTTCACTCACTGAATCTGCGTTCTACGCTAATCCTTTCTCATCTTGCATCGTCTACGTCGCATGATTCGACTTAAAATTTGACATTGCACTGGCTCTTGCAGTTCTCACGTCATCTCTCGTTGGCTCCTGCCGATTGCTTTCTCGTTATATTTCACGCGCAAGTGCTTTAGGCTTAGCTTCTCCCTCGGACTTCAGCACTCGACGCAGTTGGCGATTCGATTTCGCAGTGAGTGTCTCAATGTGGTTCAAATGTCTCGTAGTGACTACGACTTGCCTCCCCTGAATCATCACATCGAATCGTTTCGTCTCATCATTAATATTCACACAATTACTACTGCGTTTTCTTTCTTTCCTACTGCTGCATTTTCCGGCATTGTGTAAACGCGGCGCGGAAACCTGAATACGAAAGCGTCGGCTCGCTTACTAAATTCTTAGTGAGATCTAAAAACGACATTTTCTGTCACGCGTTTGCGCGCGTTGGCATACAATTTATACGTATGTGGCTCATTCGTCTACATACCTCAAGTATCCAAATGACAGTCCGCTTTCAAAGAGCATGCATTGAACCTCATTTATCACGTCTGGGTGCATTCTCTCACCTTCTCCATTTGAAGCGGACGTGTTGCGCTTAGTCGTCTGTAGACCCACGCCAAATTGCTGGCATTAGAGGTCGAGGTTCTGACACTCGCCTCCTCCGTACACCCTGAGGGCGATCACACGCGGATTAAATAGCCTTTCAAAACATGACATTAAATGCTGGAACCTCCGCGCCGCTTCGTCCTTGAACTTGTCGACTAACACTCGAACGTAGTTTGACTTGTGGTCAACAAATTGATCAGGCATTGGCTTTTGCGATTATCCGTCCATACATTTGGACCTTTAAGGCCGCTACGAATGACTTCGCCGATGACGTCGATCGGCGCATTATGTCCGCTTTTCCTCTTGAACTGTGCGGATTTCGTTTGCTTGCCCTCTTTGCAAGCAGTACAGTTTATCTAGGATGCGCAAAGTGAGCTCGATCTTATTCGTGCGATTCGCTTCCAAACGCTTATCGTGGTCGTAGTTGAGGTGCCCAAACCTGCGATGGAAGGACATCAAACTGGCTCTACGCATCTTCGTTTCACGCGGCTCAGAATCTTCAATTGTGTTCATTATCACGTCTCTCGTATTACCACTCTATCTCACTTTATCAATTCCGCAGTCAACGACCAGGGCGCTGTGATTTATGAGTACATACATTACTGTGATGTCGTTCTACACGACTGCATGTGTGTTGTTTTTGCTCCTAAACCGGCATCCCTGCAATAATAAGCGAGATCATGTTGATTGACGGTTTTGGTTCAAAGCAAGCATGGCGTAGCTCAACCCGAAACTCATCTCTCCGCGCTCACTCTGCTTTTCACTTTGCCCTTGCATGCCACCTACAACTTGATCTTAGTATGAAGCTTCACGACATGCGGATCGTTGCACACATGTCAGTATTACATCATGGAGCTGTACTTGATCATAAGAGCGCATGAGCTGGAAACGACGATCCATTCATCACTTGTTATATATCTGCACACCAGGCCAGAAAATCCTAAGAGCTCCTTGACTTCACCGTGCTAACCCTTAGCTAAGTTGGACACGTGTGTGCGATGTTTCCAAAGACACTGTAGATGCTACAAACGCGAGTGTCGGTGGTTGGTGTTACTGGTATTGCTGCAACTATGGCCGTATTGGCCTGTCGTGCAGCTCACTTCTCGATTTCCTCGTACGTTGGGGCCCAAATCGCACTCTTCAATGCATGCTAGACAGGATTCGATCTCTTAAGATCGTACTGGCTCGCTAGAAGGTCGCATAACTGGACTCGAGTGCATACGAGACGTTCGGTTACAAGCGAAGGTGATGCTCTCGTCGTGTTCCTGAATGCCATCAAGTAGAGACAGTGACTGTGCCACGACTCGGTCGTCGGTTCTCGTCAATTAAAGAAACCCACGACTTGTGCGCTAGTGAAAGTCCGAGTGAACGCACTCTCCATCTCCTCTATCGAATACGTGAGTGTCTCCTTCGTCACTCACCACTCGTCTTGCAAGCCGTAGTAGAACTCTTTGGCTTTGCCACGCAAGCACGATCCTGGCTTTAAGACCTTGAACTATTCTGGCTAGAGGCGACCGCACGACTCTTGAGCCATTCCTGCTCTTTGCGAACGCACGGCGCCACCGCCTAAAGCCGAAACCAAGTCCTTTGTGCAGATCATTTTCACTGACACATAAATTTTCGACTTCGAGTCCTTGGCGGGCTCGTCGCACCGCCGACCTGCACGACCGCGGAGCCCGCTTATAGCAGCTGCGGTTGCGATGACGTGTTTACATTCGCTCCTCCGTGACGAAGATTTATCCATTGCTCGCGCGTAGCTTCGTTCTTCAGCTTCACGTTCTCGCATTTCGATTCAGATGCGTTGAACTTCGCTTGTTACCAGGCTCGTCCGGCGTTTCCTTGCTGTGCACCGACGCGTCGCGCTTCTTTAAGGATTATGTCTTCGTGAGCTCGTTGATCTTCTGAGACACGTCGTACTTTTCGCTAAGTGCTGCTTCAGGAGCGCGATGCACGTCGATCGCAGCTTTTATTCGCTCAGCGAGTACAGTCTGTTTTTGTCACTGCAGGTCTTGTTCGCTCACTACCTCTTGCTTCTACCAATACAGGCTTTACTCTTTTTATCACACGGCTTGATCTTGTCGCTTATGCTGCAACGCTAATTCTTCTCATTCTTGTCGAAGCAGAACTTCAAAATGATTGAGATCGCAACGTTGCGCTTCTGCCTTCGCTGACAGTGCCATTTGCTGTTGTCGATGTAGTTCTTATTTGCTCTACATTTTTTGTCCAGCTTGCTGAAGATGACCTTGCCCTTGATAATTTGCTGCAGGCTCTTTTGCTCACTACACTGCATGTGCTCCAGCTGCTGCTCTTAATTAAATGCACTGAGCTTCTGAGACCGTTCGCAGACCGTCAAGCGCTACGGTAAACCCCTGTTAGTGACGCTGCTGTTCTCGTCGAAGCTAACGAAGTTCTGTATAAACATTCACGTCGTGTACTCGGGACTCTGACCCAAAATGCCGTGAAGATCATTGAACTCTGATAGACGCATTTGCGTCAGGCGCATGGATGGTGACTGGGACGTCGCTGTTGATCTAGGCGCCAAAACGATCGGGTTTGACCTCGTCGTTTGGATCGGTCCGAACATTCCACTAATTGGAGGTGGCATTCTATGTAACGGGGCACCCTGAAGCTTGTACTGGTGACAGTACAAGCTACCTATTATGATGACAGAATAAGGCGGTGCCTCGGAACTTCACGTACACTCGTACGTGCAGAGGAAGACGGTAAGAAGAAGCGAGTACTTGGTTAAAGTAAAAAGTAGAACTGTATTTATCATAGTTAATGTCCGCAATAATTCACTATTTATCTTCATCTAACTATGTCTGAATACAAATGTGCATATCAGTTATCTGCTCACCACTCATTGCGTGCGTCTGTCGTGGCGCGTCTTCGTTGGTTGATATAATGGCCTATATCAACCAATTAGGAACTACTCGTAAGTGCTACAGAATATTTGTCCTTATGACGATATTCTGAGAATATAACTCTTATAGTTATATTCTATTAACAATTTCTTATAAATTGTTATGTAACGATTCACCCCGTTATATCACCCCCCCTAACCATCAGTCACTTTAGTGACTGATTGACTAAATGGATACTCGTCCCAAATCATTTGGGACAGGGTTTGCACTTGTTGGTCCGCGTCCACTTTCCAACATCTCATCGCATGGTAAACAAGCCCATGCGATGCGCGAGCAAGGCCGCCGAGAGCGCGTCCGCACGTCTCTGTGCGGACGCCGAAGCAGAAACCACAGCAACTGATGTCTCATCGGTTGCTGAAGCGACCCAGCCTGTGTCACTTGGTGATGCAGGTGCTGGTCACGAAGACACTCATGTCTTCACAGAGTACGAGCTCGGTGTCTCGTACTCTCCTGATACGGATGACGGATCCGTATCGACGGCGATTGAATCTAAGCCGCCTGCCAAGCGTGGCATGGACGATGCTTTGCGTCGCAGCATATTTGGTTCATCTGATGAATCAGATGAACCATCGCCGAAGCGAAGGCGCTCGAGGTCGCGAGACTCGGGCGCTAATAGTGGTGTCGGTTCTCCTATGGACACCACTTCGCAACGAGGTGCCAGTACTTCTGTCGGCACATCGCAGGAAGAGCGGGACCCCAATGTGTTGCGTCTCGCTCCTGAGAAGAAGGCATGGATGCCTCCAAAATCCGTCATGGATCACTTGTCGGCGACGACGAGTGATCGTTATCGAACACGGTTGTTCGATTCGTCAAGGATCCATCACCTTGACCCCAGCGCGAAAAACTATCGCGCTGAACATGAATTCTTCATCGATGCTTTCTTTAGACATCAATGGTACAGTGGGAATCACAAACGTGATGGTCCCTCACTACTTCAGGCGTGGAACGCCTACATCCATAACCTCGAGGATGTAGGTTGTGACGCTTGGAACGACAAACTTATCAAAGCTCGTGATAAGTTTGAAAAGCGAACCCCGACAGGTGCACGCTACAAGCTGCATCGTCTGTCAAGGGAGAAAGGATTACCCTGCCTCTCTTGGGGAGACTCGTGCCCATGTTGTGTGAACAACTCTGCACGAGCACCTAAGGAGGCTTACCTCCCTAATAGCCCGTGGTGGCGCGTACGTATCTCTAGTGAGATGTACGAAGAGATTGACAACCTGAAATCCCTTTACGACCGTGCCGGGAAGACTTTCTCCGGCGGTCCTTCTGCGGCACAGGATGTGCCGCGTCGTACTGCTCAACCAGACCCAGTACGTCGATCATCAGTTGGGAGCGGGGCTCCCAAGTATCCCAGGACGGGGGATAGCCGCGCCACCGGACGAGATAACTCGTCCGACGTCCGTTCACGTCGCGGTGGTTCAACAGCTGCTCAACTAGATAGCGCTGGCCACCGCGAGAGTCCTCTAATGGAGGTGGAGGAGGAGGGAAGATGCTCTCCACACAATCGTGGGGAAGCGTGTGTCTTAGGGAGCTTCTTAGATCGCGTAACGCAAGGGTTACGCGACGATCTCGAACATGAGCGGAATAGGCGTCTCCAAATGGCGGACACTGCCTCGAAGCATCGAGCTGAGTTTGCCTTTGCTCAGCTTGAGAACGAGAGATCTCTGACGTCTCTTCGTGACGAGCTAAGGGTAGCTCGTGGGATTGCTGATCGGTCTCGGGATGAGATAGCTGCTCTTCAGACCCTTGTTGATGCCCACCATCGGGAGCACAAGGCTCTTTGCGAGATGCTTGAGCGCAAGGGCGTTCTTCATCGGAAGAAGCAGCGTACTGATGGTACGGCTTAAGCCGACAAACGTAAAACGTGGGATGCGTTCGCATCTTACGTGGCAACTCGATCGTGTATGCATTGCCTAGGCGGTGCAATACACGAAATGGGCCGATGTACTTGGGTAGTAGTTTACTGCTACCCAAGTTAGTCACTACACGCTTTGGTAGATTAACCGTAGACAATAGGACTAAGTCACCTTTATTAAATAAAAGAGTGTTTGCCCTTCCATTCTTGTCAGCGTTTTGTTTGTTTTGCTTATCCACCGCTTCGGCGATGGAATCTTGCACAAAACGGACTACCGTTTCACGAGCCAGTATGAACTCATCTGATGACTCGTTAGCTTCAGTGCGCTGTGAGTGCACTGCAGCAACATCAATCATTTCTTCAGTGAGGGCTTCCGCGCTCTCACTGGCATCATCTTCTTCGATATCGATGTTATCAATATCGGCATCAAACGCAATGACCTCTTCGTCAAAGCGTGACGATCGTGAAACAAATCGGTTTTTGCTCGCGCGAGTCCCTCCCCCCCTTAAACCAGAGTTACACTCTAGTAAGGTGGGTACACGCGGATGGCGTAAGTCATTCACGTAAAACGGTGAATGTGTCGTGGACGCATGCACCGAGTTGTTAATGGCAAACTCTACCATTGGCAAAAGCTCACTCCAACTCTTAAAGGAGTATACGTATCCTCGAAGTATCTCTTCTAGGACACGATTGGCTCGTTCCGTCGGACCATCTGACTCTGGATGATCAGATGTCGACATCTTCAAGCGCGTTCCGAGTGATTTGAACATGGAACGCCAGAAATCAGCAGTGAATCGTGGATCTCTGTCTGATACGAGTTCACGGGGCAACCCATGAAGTCGGAAGATGGTGTCAATAAAGACACAAGCACAGCCACTTGCCGTGATTGTCTCTGGTACAGCCACAAGGTGTACCATTTTGCTAAATTGTCAACAAATACGAGAATACCCGTATTCCCGCGTGCGTCTTTGGGAAACCCGAAGACGAAATCCATTGAGATGGATTCCCAGCACTCTGCCGGAACTGGTAGAGGCTGTAAAGGTGCACGCAGTGAAGGACTTGACTTCACTCGTTGACAGACTTCGCATGCGCGAACATACTTTCGCACAAACTGATACTGGCGGGGCCAGTAAAAGTCTCGACTCACCGTGAGATATGTTTTCTCACAGCCACGATGTCCTCCTACAGGAGCATCGTGATACTCGAACATGATCCAAAAACGCAGATCAGTATCATCTGGAATGACAACACGTGGTGTGTCATTAGAAACGGCTGTATAATACAGTAACCCGTTGCGAGTAGTGTATCAAATTGATGCAGATCAATACGCAGACGATAATCGTTTCAACAATTCTCGAGATGGTTGTGAGAGATGTGTCAATAACTTCACAATCTCACCATCTTGGGCACACGCCCGCCTCACATCATCATGCAACGTTGTAGATGGGACTGAGGACGTCATAACCGCAACAGTGACTGTCTCACTGTTGAGTTTCACGACTGGTTCAAAGTCGTGACGACGTGAGAGTGCATCAGCGACGACATTAAGTCGTCCTGGTTTGTACTCGACCGTAAAGTTGCATTCTGCAAAGAATGACAACCACCGCGCCATTCGTTGTGAAAGGTGCGGGCTGTTCACTGCCGTGCGTAATGACGCATGGTCAGTGTAAACAATGAAGGGTCTATCTCCTAATAGATAGACTCTGAACTTCGCGAGTGCATACTTCATGGCAAGGAGTTCCTTGTCATGCACTGGATAGTTCCGCTTAGCTGGTTGCAGCTGACGCGACTGATAGCAGACGACGCGTTCAACGCCTTTAAGGTCGTACTGCATTAATGCACAGCCTACTGCAAAATCGCTAGCATCACAGACCACATGAAATGGACTGTCCTGATCGGCTATTGCTAGGACTGGGGAATGTACAAGCTCTACTTGATACCATCAAAGGAGCGCTGACATTCAGCGTTCCATAACCATCTCTCGTTCCTTTTCAACAAACGAGA